GACGCCATTAACTTTTATAATTAACTTAGACGCCATTAACTTTTTCTGATCCATGTATGTTTGGAATTTGGATTGATTAATATATAATTTTTCTCTCCCTCCTCTGCATGTCATCGTTTTTTCACTATACCAAGTAAGTCAAATCTCTCTCATCGTCCTGACATTCATCATCTTGCAATGGTGGTTTTACATTCTCATTAGCCGATACGATGATTGTGAATCAGTGTACGCGAGCACCATCTTCTCACCATTAATATAATAGCACAAAACACTACAAACTTACGAGTCAATTACGAGTCTTAATGCCTGTCTTGTATTATGAATAATCACTTTAAAAATTTCCAATACTCGTATAATGCTAATGCTTTAGTCACGTGATGTATAAACTCTAAGTGAAAATTAGCAATCTTTGCCCACCGAGCGGCACCAACAATCCTGGGCCCATACTTTCAAAACTCGCTAAGTGAACGTAAGTGCTTACGCTCCATTTTCTTGTCTATGATTGGTGGATTTTGCTTGAAAGGCCGTCAATGATTGGCTGATGAACTTACGAACACTTATTTTTTTTTGACAGTATGGGCCCTGGCCATGATCCTAGGTGAACATCGCTGTCGCTGTTACGATTAAAAAGTTCAGTTTCTGTATTAGGTAGAATTTTAATTATTGAACTTACTTGGGACAGTTCATTATCATGTAGGATTGTGACGATTACTTGTGACAGTTCCACCGACAGTCGAAATTGAAATGCTGCAGTGTTTCTCAGAAAATTTTCTGCAATTTCAGGTCCAGTTTGTGGTCTGGTTTATTTGCCTCTTGACGTTCCTTCCTGATAACGATTGCATATCTATTGTTATAATCATATTTCCAAGAAAAAGTAGCGTTTTATCTTCCGAATATATGTCGCTGTGCACAGAACGCATTCACAATATACAGAGATTGTTACATTTTTATTATGCTTGATTCCTCAAGACTTATCGGAGCAAGATAAACCCAAGGCATTAGCTTTTGTTTCTTATAATGCAAAGAGAAACATTTCACTTGAGGATAATTAGAGGAAGTGTTTAACCACCTAGACTCTGATGTTAAAATAATCTTGATTAAACGTTTTTTTTTTCAACGAAATGAACTCGTAATCAACTTCGTTTGAACGTCACTTATTTACATCCATGTCACTTATTTACATCCATGTCACTTATTTACATCCATGTCACTTATTTACATCCATGTCACTTATTTACATCCATGTTACGCCTGTCTAACATCATTGTTGTTAAGTCTAACGATGCAGTCGAATACTGCTATCACGGTTGTGTTTCGCTGCAAGAACTGCAATAATGACTTGAATATTTTTTTTGTTTATTTGTTAATTGTTCTGTATTGCAGTTGCTTGCGCGTGTTGTTTGGTCGCGCCAGTTCCGCTAAATGATATTGTACCATCACCGTGTAATGATGTGCATAGATATGATGTATGATTCAAGGGAGCGAGTGTCATATATATTATAGTTTAAGACGTTGATTAAGTGTGTGCAGATTTTTTAATGTTAAATGAGTCGTTCTTTATGTCTATTGATATGTTTTAATAAGGTAGCTTTCAAATATGATGGTTACACTGTTAGAAAAAACGGTGAAAAAACGGGCCCACCGGCATCCTAGTGGCCGGTCGCCCCGTGAAAATAAACTGTCTCGCCGTTTTTATCAGATGTTTTACGGATTTCTGGTGTTAAATTGGAATAAAAACGGTGAAACGGTGTTTCTTTTCACGTGCCGACCGGCCACTGAAACGCCGGTATTACCGTTAACGGTCATTTTTCTAACAGTATATAACTGGTTAATGCATCATTACGAGTATATTAATTCCTGAAGACCTTATAACCACCGTTAGGACCTCGTTACAATGCCTTTCATCTCACGGCAGTTTAGTTTCCTGGTAAATCACAACAATAAGTATTGTCTGCTGGGTAAATGCGTCCTCGTTATTATTGTTTTATTCTGAACTAATAGATTGCAGGAATGGCTACTCCATTTTTAGCGCATTTTCTCATTTATAGCAAAAATTCACTATTGTGCTCGCCATGTCCGCCTGTCTGTCTGTCTGTCCATCCGTCCGTCCGTCTGTCTGTCCGTGACCTCAGGTTTTCGTCAACGAGAAAATGCGCTCTCTGTCACTCACTGCTGTGAATACTGAGTTATATTTTTACTGATATTAGCAGTTACCGGTAAACGTTGTAACGAGTTGCCTGCTCGCTGAATTTTTTCACCCGGTCATGTTAACGCCGTTATGTACGTACACGTAGCGGCTCATTTCTCGTCTCTGATTGGCGGTACTAGCTTGAAATCTATCAATAATATGCTGACGGAGTTAGGATACGCACACAGTGAAAGCAGGTTGCCAGCGTGCTGGTTACCTGCTCAGGCTGGCGCCTAAAACCATAGAATACAGAAGCCTATTCGTACAGGTTTTCACTGTGAACACTTACATTATTATCCTATGTTCATTCTTGTGGCAGGTTGGAGCAGGTTGCCCGCGCGGGCAAACCTGCTTTTACTGTGTGCGTACCCTTACGATTGTGTAATTAGTTTTAATGGTACACCCTAGTTGATAATAACTTTCCTGCCTCCCGATAAGATAAACATTTCGGCAAGTGACATCGAGGGATCTGGAATCTAGTGCGTGTTATTCTACAAGATTTTCATCGACGTTTTGCATATCTTAGGCATAAGGAACTTATCTCCACTGTGTATTGTCTAAAATTTATACTTATTGGTGTTTTCTCCTTCCTGTTCTTTATTATACGTGTTGATGTTTTCAACTTTAGATTCTTTACTATATGTAGTGCCTTCGCAAAATATTTTCAATTTACTCTTCTCCTCTTTTTTATAATACAGTCAACGCCAAGAGTTTTTCTCTAGCCTTCTGCTTGCTGTAATTGGAACGTGATTTGCTATTCGTAAACTTTTTTATCGATTTGGCATCTAATTTCGCTGTGATCTCCTAGCGCGAATTGGGGTTCATTTAACCTTCTTGTCTACATTCCGATGCCAGTACTTCACCTCGGTTTGACTTTGCTTGCACTTGTTCGTTCTCATACATTTTATTAACAAAGTCAACTTATGAGTGCGTTGTATTTACCTTTACCTGAGCCACACATTTCCTATTTACCAATAACTGAGCCACACATTACCTATTTACCTTAACCCGAGCCACACATTACCTATTTACCAATAACTCAGCCACACATTACCTATTTACCTATACCTAAGCCACTTATTACCTATTTACCAATACCTGAGCCACGCATTACCTATTTACCTATACCTTAGCCACATATCCTAGTCAACCTCATTCACGGTTCTCAGTCCCAAGGTGATGTATAATATTAAGAATACTTTTTTTATATCTGTTATTGGTATTGTTGTTGATAAATAATTTGAGAATTTGTTCTCCTGTGTCTCATCTTTGGCTTATTTTTAGTGTACCGACTAATATGAGAATTGAATGATTTTTCATTTCTTATGATAATTCTGATGCATACTATGGCGAGACCATGAACTTTCTTCCCTCAAATTACGTACTTTACGTAACGAATGTTGCGTAGAAGTTTCAAAATAGACATTATTGATGCATCGCGAATAAATCGGCTAAAAAGAACATAATAAAAAATAAATCAGTCTTCACGAGCATGCATCTTATCGATGAGCCTGCATCATGAGGTCACTCTTATCAATGAGACTGCATCATGAGGTCACTCTTTATCAGTATCAATGAGCCTGCATCATGAGGTCACTCTTATCTATAGCTTGTGTTCCCGCGTACAAATTTGTTTGCTCATATTTATAGCCCGATGAGTCTCCATGGAATATTTTCGATACGTATATAGTTATTCTTTTGTTTGTTTTAGTCGGAAAGTTGTTTTAAGGTCCCTGCAATGCTTTGGAAGTGTGAGTTGGTTTTTAGTATATACACTTTTTGCATGATCTTTATAAAAATTCGAATCGATATTGTTTTATTGAGCCTTCTTGTTTCTTGTAATGGCGAGCAGCAACGCGACAGTGATGGCAACAGCAGCACTGTCAAAATGATGGATTGTACTGATGTTCTACTGCAGAAATGACGCGCCATTGATAAGTGATAAGATTTTGAATTAAACGACATCGTGCTTCCTAAGGCAAGAAATCATCTTTGCTTGTCAGTCACGTTGAGGAAATTCTAGTGGCTTAATTAGATGTGTCCTAACAGCTCCAATTCAAACCTCACTTGTAGCCAAATAATGATGATAGCGGTTTCAGCATTTATTAGGCCTGTTGCCGATTCCTAACATCGCAGAACTTTCACTGCTTGTTGAGTCTCGAACTCACTGCTTCAATAATTCTGCTTCGCTTAACCGCCCGGCCTCCTCGCCGATTCTGCACAGAGCTTAGATTGAACCCTCACCTCTCTGCTCCAATCTTGGTACTTTGAACTGTAACGACTGGGCCACCCTGCCCTTGAAGCAAAGGAAGTTCATAAATAAGGCTACTGTGTGCCTGAGTAGTATTGTCATTTTTAGTGAGTAAAGGCACGTTTAGTGCTGTGACATCACTATGACGACTAGCTCAATTGTGTACACAAAACCGATCATAAAGTTAGGAATTGATTGCATAAATTCCTTACTTGAGGCTCTACTAGTATGCCAACTTATTTAAAAAGATTTGGCAAAAGTCGACGATGGTTTGTTGAGAACATTGAAGCTGAGCTCATTCAACCTTATTCAACTATTGCCCTTTTTCAGCACCATAGCATAATATTATCGGCGCTGAAAAACAGGCCTGTCGCCAATTCTTGCATTATATTATTCTAATAACTAACAATAAAAGAACTAATCTCGAATTACAATAAAACAATTTATTTCTCGTGTTTTTTAATTGACCTAATTTTTGTTGCTTCACTTCAGAGGTTTCGTTCCCCATGGTTAACCATGTCGTTTCCTGCGTCATTCTGCATCCGCAATGGAAGACAGCTGTCGGAAATGATGCAGTTTACCTGTTGAAGGAATCAGTTGGCCTTCTAATCTTCGCGAGTCGAAATGCATAAATGAAATTAGCACCTGTTGTAGAATTGTCGGTGTGAACTATCAATGCAATCTTTTCCGTTTCAAGAAAAGAATAAATTTCTTCGATTTTCATTTTTAGAAGAAAATTAATGTACTTATGAAGTAAGATGATTCCCATAAAGAGACTTCCACTTGGATCAAGACGTCCTAATACTTTGGAGCAGGAAAGAGAAAACTCTGAGAGGCAGCAGGTATGCACTATGTTGACTGGGTTCTAGCTAACTCTTTTCTCTGATCATGGATATGCTGAATAGTTTGGGACTTTGAACCAAACAAAAAAGACTTTAATTATAAACACACCATCTGCTTTTTCAAGAAATTTCCATTGTCAACTTGCTTGACTCAAGTTGACTGGGATTGCACTACAGCAGTCAGCACTAGCGATGAAAATATCTGCTCTTGTACTAAAAATATTCTTTACTCTGATCTCAATGAAAATTACAATATAAACATAACTACATAAGTTTAATACAAGTAAAAGCAAAAAAGCTATGAATTTATTTAGTTATCAAATTATGTCTCCAAAATGGACCAATTTTTATCACTTTTTTTAACTTTCGTTTCTATGTTTCCTATGAGCTAATTTCACCAATTTCAAAAATTCTACTGATTCTAGCACCATTAAAAAGCTCTTGTTGTAGACTTGTAGCCTTGTAGGCTATCTATTCTAACTTAAATAAAACACTTTGACTGCAGGTGGATGTGGAAAGCGGGTGTGTGTGTGACTGATAGATATGAATGGTATAAATTCACCAAAAGGCAGAATAGAACAGAATAAATTGCAGTTTTATAAATAAATCATGAATAAATGATCTAGAAAAATATATTATAAGTAAATGATGAAAGAATGATAAACAAATGATGAATGAACAATGATTGGATTATAAATGCATGATGACTAAATAATGAATGAATGATGATTGTATGATGGATGAATGAATGAATGATTGATAAATTATAAATAAATTATGCAGGTGAGTTCATTGATGCATTCATTATATGATAGGTAAATGATTGATAAATTATAGGAAAAAGATGGGAAATTGATCAGTGAAGGATCTGTAAATGATAGGTTAATTATAGGTAAATGACAGGAAAATACTAGAAAAATAATAAGAAAATGATTGGTAAATAATAGGAAATTATAGGAGACAAATGATAGGAAAATTATAGAAAATGATGGGAAAATTATAAGAAAATTATAGGGAAATGATAGGTAAATGATAAGTAAATTAGTAGATAAGTATTATTTGAGTACTGAAGTGAAGTAGTAGCACTAGTAGCAGCCTAGGCTCCATGCTTACTAGTATCAAGTCTAACTGACTAAGTGCTTGATAAGTTTCACTAGTACATAAGTAAATCAGGACAGGAGGTAGGTGCAACTGCGAGTAAAAAATTTCATGTAACAATGTTTTTGTAACAGAACTTTAAATTGTCCTGGTCAGTCAATTACCTATAAGCAATTTACTCCCAAACTTTGAACTATGAATCTAACGGAAAGGCACTATGTGAAAGCCTACTGGCTAACATGATGACAGAACATAAATAACATTACTACTCTCCGTTTCATAACCCTTACTATAAGGGTTATGTATTATATACCTAATATAGCTATACGAGCTATATTATTATATACTCATGATATATAGCTCATATATGAGCTATATTATTATATACTCATGATATATAGCTCATATACTTCCTATATGAGCTATACTCATATAGGGTTATGAGCTATACTTATAACCCTATACCCCCTCATAGCTCATAACCCCTCATATAGGGTTATGAGCTATACTCATAACCCTATATGAGTATAGCTCATAACCCTTAATTATATATACTCAATACTTATTGAGCTGAAACATATACCCAATACTTATTTAAGGCATTTGTTTAACAGGAAGTGAGCTACCGCAAGGCAATCAATGAACAGGAAGAACCCTCTAAGCCCAAGCATGTCCGCAACCTCATTATTGCAACTCACAAGGACAAAAATGCTACCAATTTCTGGAAGCTAGTAAGTTACTTGTATCATGTATTTAACATATAAATATTTGAAATTAGAATTATGAACAGGTTTTCTTTTTAAATTTTTTGTTCATTTGCAATATTATCTTCAATGTACGTATCTAGGCTCCTTTCATAACTAACATCATTGTATTCTCTGATGGCTAAATTGCATTTTTGGGCATAAAAACCTTGTTTTTCCAGGCCCACACCCTGAGTCCCCTGGCCACAGATGTGACAGCATGGAAGTTCTGCCACGCTCTCCACATCATCTTGAGAGATGGTCACAAGCATGCACTTCGGGACACCATGAAGAACTTTGAGTTCATCCGCAGCATGAGGGAGCATTTTGTATGTTTTAACTTCACCTATTATTGAGCATTATAATCTGTATAAATAAGATATGACTTGTATATAGATTTATGATTACATTTTATGCTCCTATGGTATCTATGTTAATTCTTGGCATTGTAGTTTCCTAATTAAATGTATTAACATTCCAAAATTTGACTGAAAGAAAAATTCCACATTTTTTTCTGTAATATTTTTTTGCCTCCATAAAATATCAGTATGATTGAATAATTTTCAAGATCTAGAAATAATTTCTTACTGAACAAGAAAACACAGAGCAACTAAACTTTAATATGTATTTTTCAAACATTATTTGAGTGCATATAAGCAAATTAATTGTTGTCAGGGTCACTTGACTCATGGGTATGGCCGCCTCATTGTGCGCTACTGCGACTTGCTGATGTGTAAGCTCAACTTCCATAAGCGCAACCCTCAGTTCCCCAGCAACCTCAGCGTCAAGCCTGATGATCTGCACTCCATTGCTGAGACTGACGCTAATGACTAGTGAGTTGCTGAGACTGATGTTAATGACTAGTGAGTTGCTGAGACTGATGCTAATGACTAGTGAGTTGCTGAGACTGATGTTAATGACTAGTGAGTTGCTGAGACTGATGCTAATGACTAGTGAGTTGCTGAGACTGATGCTAATGACTAGTGGGTTGTGACTGATGCTAATGACTAGTGAGTTACTGAGACTGATGCTAATGACTAGTGGGTTGTGACTGATGCTAATGACTAGTGAGTTGCTGAGACTGATGCTAATGACTAGTGGGTTGCTGAGTGTCTATTAGTTAACTATTTTGAAGGAATTAAAGCTAAGTGTTGTTAAGACACAGTTTATGTTTGTAAATATGTATTCACTCCAAATCCTGTATTATTAGGCATGTGGTGTTAAGCATCTAATCTTGAACTCTGTCATAGAAATGTCCCTCTGGACAGCACCTGCACACTGGGGCTGGTGGACAAGTATAGATCTCCTGAACAATAACTCCTGCAACGCAAGATTTATTCTTATTTATTATTTATTTATTTAAATCATATTTAATACAATATATATTTAAATTTAAAATTATTTAAAATAAAATCTAAATAAATATTGTTCATAAATCTTTGGCGTATATATTGTAAGAAGTGTGAGGCATCAGTCTAAGATGCTTATGTATACAACTACCTATACTCAAGAAGCAGAGAGCACAGCATTTGTGCCATAATGAAATCTTTTACATGTAGATGGAACTAAATTTAAAATTATTTACTTAAATTTAATAAAAAATAAATTCTGGATATAATTAGTAATAATGAAGTTGATTAACAATTTTTAAATTTTTTTTTTTTTAGTTTAAGGGTGTTATTACTGTCAAGATTTGCTTTATTGATTACAGTGTGTGCCTAAGGGTACAAAGTGATGTGTAACTTGTACACGAGTTGTATGCAAAACTGTTCCAGGAGTTATTGTTTGGCACTTCTGCATGCCCCCCCCCCACCCTATTCAGCTGTGTACTTTCACAAGGAACTGTGTAACGTTCCTGTGTGCAAGTGCAGTCTTAAGATTGTAATCTAAAACTTTGATATCTCACTAACAAATATTTTGGAATCCCTGTACATTTGTACACAAAATGCCTCGTCTTGATGACGCATACAATTCTTATCTACTTAAGATTGTTGATTGGTAGAGTTTTCTGTTTCTTTGAAATTTTATTTGGCTATTAAGTTTTTAATCTCTTCTGTGTAATGTTGTTTGTTCTATTTCAGGAGTTTATGACTTATGTTAAACGTTTATAATGAAAATAGGGGAAATTTGATTTTGTCATTTCTTTGTTTTATATTCTTGGGTAATTTGTCTTTGAGGGAAAGTAAGCATAGTATGGGTATTTAATTTATGAATAATTACTGTTCATTATTGCTGCTCATTCATAGTCCAATTTTTTAGAACTGTATAGCGTGAAATTATATACTTTTATTGTGATAATTAATTGAAGCTTTGGTTGCAGTTTTGAATTGGCTGTGGAGATGTTTGAATACACAGAATGCATCCTGAAACTATTCAAGGAAGGTAAGATGTTTGAGTACACAGAATGCATCCTGAAACTATTCAAGAAAGGTAAGATGTTTGAGTACACAGAATGCATCCTGAAACTATTAAAATCAAGTCGTAATCAATGCATTTTCAACATCATTTATTTGAAGTGTTTTTACTTAGACCACTTATGTTGCTAATAGTTACTAGACTCGAGTTACACTTGACATTTGATAAACGTATCAGTAGTGAATATATAAATAATAATAATTGTTTGATGCAGTATTCAATTCGCTGGATCAATCCCGTGCGGTGTCCAACACCCGCGAGGGGAAGTGTAGGCTGGCTCCCCTCATCCCCTGCGTGCAGGACTCTGCCTCCCTCTACGACCTCACCGTCCGCATCCTCTTCAACCTCCACAAAGGTACGTATTATTTGTGTAGAAAATTAAATTTAATTAATTGTAATTTATAGTGAATCTGCGATTCAAGCAATCTAGTGACATTATTACTAAGGTATTATTTATCTAGAAATTAGCTACACGCACCTATCTCATACTTGTTTTAATTAGGAACACGTATCCAGGGTATACTTGTCTTAATTAGGAACACTTATCCACCTCATTCTTATGTAAATTAGGAACACGTATCCACGGTATACTTATGTGAATTATTAACACCCAGACACACACCATATTTTGGACTAATTTCTACTTATCTAAGTTGTGAAAACTGATCGCCCAAGTGGTGCTTTCTCTTCGCATTATTTAGTTTGGTGTAAGGTTGATGTATACAAAATAAAATTCACATATAGTACAAATATTCCAATATTTTTTCAAGTGTGATTAATATAGTCTATATTAATTTTTAAGGCAAAATGTTTTCATATCCTAAAATATTGACGTAGATTTTTAGAAATCTTATTCAAAAAAAAAAAAAAAACGAGAAAGATAAGCAACCTGCTGTAGAGACTCCTTATAATGCCTTTAACCCTCTACCGCCTGACAAGAGTAATTGAAGCAATATTAGTAGTATAATAATATACCTAATCTAATATATTACTAATATTAATAATATTAGTAATATCAATAATATTAATAACCGGAGCAATATTGTCACAAATCCCAAAAAAGATACGTTCTAGTGAGCGCAAAATGACTTGCACTGATGGTTGCCGCCACGTACGACAACTTTAAAATGTTCTCTATTGCGTACAAACGTCCACAGCTTGCTACACTCAATAGTTTACGTATAATTTGAGATGAAAGTTACTTTAAAATGTTCTCTGTTGCGTACAAACGTCCTCAGGTTGCTACACTCAATAGTTTACGTATAATTTAAGATAAAAGTTACTTTAAAATGTTCTCTGTTGCGTACAAACGTCCTCGGTTTGCTACACTCAATAGTTTACGTATAATTTAAGTTGAAAGTTATGTTCCTGAAGAGTGACATATACGGCAGTAGAGGGGTAATTCCTTGCCATACATTCATATCTGTTTATTTTGGCTCGTCTTGCGATTAGTTTGCATGTAATGTAACTGTTTGTACAGTAACTGGTTGTACTGTAGCGTTGTATTGTGCCTGCAGAACCTAGCATGTACTGCAAGCATCCCACTGACCCATGTGAGTGAGCCCAGTATTTACTGTTGCTTGAGTGCAGCCGCTGTCAGTATATGCTCCTTGATTGATTACTTAGCGCCTTGATTACTTCGCGCCTTGATCATTACGCGCCTTGATTAATTCGCGCCTTGATTACTACGCATCTTGATCATTACGCGCCTTGATTACTACGCGCCTTGATCATTACGCGTCTTGATTAATTCACGCCTTGATTTCTTCGCGCCTTGATCATTACGCGCCTTGATTACTACGCGCCTTGATCATTACGCGCCTTGATCATTACGCGCCTTGATTACTTCGCGCCTTGATCATTACACGCCTTGATTACTTCGCGCCTTGATCATTACACGCCTTGATTACTACGCGCCTTGATTACTTCGCGCCTTGATCATTACGCGCCTTGATCATTACGCGCCTTGATCATTACGCGCCTTGATCATTACACGCCTTGATTACTACGTGCCTTGATTACTACGCGCCTTGATCATTACGCGCCTTGATTACTTCGCGCCTTGATCATTACACGCCTTGATCATTACACGCCTTGATTACTTTGCGCCTTGATCATTACACGCCTTGATTACTACGCGCCTTGATTACTACGCGCCTTGATCATTACGCGCCTTGATCATTACGCGCCTTGATCATTACGCGCCTTGATTACTTCGCGCCTTGATCACCACGCTCATTGATTATTGTTTACGTCTAAGCATATGCGTCTTGAGAATTACTCCAGCTAATTATTACGTGGCTCTCCTGTCTGTGCTCTAGCAATACAATAGTTTCACATTATCATTACTTTCTTCCTCATTCATATTGCTACTTTCCTCTTCATTCATGTTGCTACTTTCCTCCTCATTCATATTGCTACCTTCCCCTTCATTCATTTTGCTACTTTCCTCTTCATTCATGTTGCTATTCCCTTCGTTTTGTTGTGTCACTTCCTTGTATGTTTACGTTACCACTGTGGGGCAATTCATGACTTTATTCCTATTTCTTTGCTTGTATAAGCTACTATTCTTTGATTATTTATCCCTGTGTTTCTCCACCAGAATATTCAGCATTTACAGACAATACTCCAAATAAAGCTCCATTCAATTCCTATAGGTATCCTATACATTCCTATACATTTTGCTCTCAGGTTCCTCTGAGTTTGTGGCTGTATATATATTTAGTGAATTGATTTATCTCTTCAATTAATGTTTGTTAATTTAGTGAGGTGATGTTTAGTGTTGATAATGAGCGCACCTAAACTTGATGAGATAGTTTAGTTTGCTGCAGTTATTAGTGCTGATAAACATGCTTAATATCTTAACTTAGTGAACCTACTAGTGCTAGTTACAACCTGATTCGAGTGCACTCTTTATTTTGAATTCATTTCACATTGCAAACTAAAAACTGTACAAACTGTATTGCTAAAAAATCTCAATACTTGAAAATACAGGATAAAAGGACCGCGACTGATGGATTTGTCTCCTTGTGTACAAAGACAGGCTCTAAATTCACTGTCGTAACTGCACTGTTAGAAAAATTACCGTTAACGGTATTACCGGCGTTTCAGTGGCCGGTCGGCACGTGAAAAGAAACACCGTGTCGCCGTGTTTATTCTAATTTAACACTAGAAATCCGTAAAACATCTGATAAAAACGGCGAAAAAGTTCATTTTCACGGGGCGACCGGCCAATAGAACGCTAGTGGGACCGTTTTTTCACTGTTTTTTCTAACGGTGTGTTGGCCCTAATTTGCAATTAAAGGAGAACAATTAAGTGAAAACTGGACCAGGCTTAGGCTGAGGCTTGATTGCGGGATCCTGAGTTGGGATGGGGATTTCAGAGGTCATGCAATCAAAATTATTAAAGAATTTGTAACTCCGTTAACCAATCACTGATATATTTCCTATCTAAACTTACCAGAGGAGAAATTGGTCGCTACAAGTACTGATACCGTAGTACAGACTCTTGTTTTAGATAAGTTGCAAGGGTTGTGGCTCTCTGATCATTCAAAATGTTGCTATCCTGTGGGATTATTTTTCTTGCTATTCTTGATTTTCTGAGGAATTTTCCGTCTTAATTAATGCTCATCACTTTTATTTGTTTTTATTGATTTGTGTGATCCGCTTACTGGTTCAACTTAAACTTGTGTTTTAATTTTTTTATTTCTCGATTTCTGTTATTCCAATTTATTACTATTTTTTCAAGTATAACGGAAAATTTTAAGAAGTATAATCAAATGAAATAAACGTGTATGTGAGGACTAATTAAGGGACGGTTAATGTTACGATGTCAACGTAGCCTTTACATCCCTATGATGTAAAGGCTACAAGGACATCACTGCCTGCGTCTTTTGTCGACCCTTCCCGTCTGGAGAGGCTGACTGCGGAATGTCGCTTAACTTTTCCGAGTTTTACTATTTATATTTCAAACTATGATTTTCAAGGCCTCAAACTATGCCTTTCAAGGCCTTAAACTATGCCTTTCAAAGCCTCAAACTATGCCTTTCAAGGCCTCAAACTATGCCTGTCAAGGCCTCAAACTATGGCCTCAAACTATGTCTTTCAAGGCCTTAAACTATACCTTTCAAGGCCTCAAACTATGGCCTCAAACTATGTCTTTCAAGGCCTTAAACTATACCTTTCAAGGCCTCAAACTATGCCTTTCAAGGCCTCAAACTATGCCTTTCAAGGCCTCAAACTATGCCTTTCAAGGCTTTTCAAGGCCAAAGTTTAGTGGCAACTAGCGCTATTTTATGCGAGAATAAATAAATAAAAGAAGTTTGTGCTGATGTCAGCGCTGACGACCGACCTGCTGACGGGTCACCGCACGCGCTTCTCTGAACAATTCCTGGAGCTGCGTAACTTCTACTCCAGCACCTCCAAGCTCCAGTACTTCCAGCAGCTGGGCATTACCATCCCACAACTCCCTACCGTGAGTACTAGTACAATATTGTGGTTGAAAGTGATGCATTATAGCGACATCATCCTATTGATTGTACCTACCATTGTAGGTACTCAACCATGTCATCCCAACATTGTACCCCTATCTTTCCCCTATCATTGTACCTCTATCCTCCTATCATTATAACGCAATCATTGTATCCCTATCATTATATCCCTATTATCCTATCATTGTATCCCTGTCATCCTCCTATCATTGTACCGTACTCCTATCATACCTCTATCTTTGTATAAAGTCTCAAGGTAAGTGTAGTTGTGTGAATAACAGGAATTGAAAATGAAAGAAAATGGATTAAAAATTAACTAAATCTGTATTGGATGTATAATTTTAGAATCTAATTATTTTATAGAAATATGCTCAAATTTCATCTTATTTTTCCATACTCTCGAATTTTCGGTAAATTTTCGAGTGGAGCAGTCGTGTGATCTTAGTACTTGTGATCAGCGTATGCGAATAGTCTGTATGTACCACATCATCAATAAGAACATCCTAAATAACAACAATAAACTGGCCCAACCCCTTAGCATGATAAGAATGCCCTACAATAATTGACGTCGCTTTGCAAAATTTTGTTCTGGAAATTCGGACGTGTCTATATTTGAGCTCTGAGTTAATTGGGACCTTACCAGCAGAGCAAGAGTGCGTTGCCTGCCAACAGAAAAATGAATGTCACATTGTCCATAGAGTGTCACACTTCCTTACCACAGCACGAGCAGAGAAGCGGACCTAATACTGATACGCTTTATGTCTGATTAAACTGAGTCAGGATGACCCAGATAAGAGCAATAAGTGTATCGTTATTTGTACCTGCATGGTCTCGCTCATTGAGAGTGAGGCGGTGGGGTGTCAGGCGTCCATGTGTTTGCTCTTGTCTACCCCGCTTCGTTCTTTATTTAACTAAAAATTAATTGAAAATTATCAAATTAGCAACTACACTACCTACCATATATATATATTTTACAAAATATTAATATTGAAGAAATCAAATTAATTAGTAATTACTACTCCAGGAGGCACCCAACTTCCTGGTGCAGGCGGAGCTGTACGTTCGACCTTTAACTAAAAACTAATTGAAAATTATCAAATTACCAACTATATTATTTATTCACACAATTAATTATTATTGAAGGAATTAATAACTGCACCAGGAGCCACCAAACTTCCTGGTGGAGGCGGAGCTGGTGGTGCACTACCAACTACAATATTTATTCATACAATTAATTATTATTGAAGGAATAAATTATTATTGAAGCAATTAAATTAATAACTGCATCAGGAGGCACCCAACTTCCTGGTGGAGGCTGAGCTGGCGGTGCACGTGGCGCCGGTGGTGCTGGTGCAGGAGCAGCCTGACGACTGCACGTCCGAGCTGTACGACGCGTCTCTTATAGACACCTCTGACCCGCCCCCCATACCCCCACACCCCCTCGACCACACGCTCAATGGGTGAGATAATGCGTGATAAGTGGGGGATCAATGGGTGAAATAATGGGTGATGGCTGTAGACACCTCTGACCCCCTCCCCATACCCCCACACCCACTCGACCACACGCTCAATGGGTGAGATAATGCGTGATAAGTGGGGGATAAATGGGTGAGATAATGGGTGATGGGTGGGGGATCAATGGGTGAGATAATGGTTAATGGGTGATGCCTTAGGGATCAATTGGTGAGGCAATGGGTGATGGCTTGGGGATCAATGGGTGAGATGATGGGTGATGGGTGGAGGATCAATGGGTGAGATAATGCGTGATGGGTGAGGAATCAATGGGTGATGGGTGGGGGATCAATGGGTGAGATAATGGTGATGGGTGGGGGATCAATGGGTGAGATAATGGGTGATGGCTAGTAGCTTTGTAAGTACATGTAGCGTCGTAAGTACACGTAGCTTTGTAAGTACATGTAGCGTCGTAAGTACACGTAGCTTCGTAAGTACATGTAGCTTCGTAAGTACATGTAACGGCCGAAGTGGGTTTAACTGATGAAGCCCTCATTGATCGGCTGGCAGAGTCACGAATTCGTAACTATATTTCATATTAAGGCTAAATTTAAATTTGAAAGAAATAGGGAAGAAAAGAAGGATTTTCATGATGAATTAAACGTGCCATGCGGCAGGTCGATGGCAGAGAGCCTGGCTGAGCGGGATGCTCTGATCGAGGCGCTGACGCAGGAGCTGCAGAGCACCCGAGCACGCCTGCAGCAGCACCAGCAGCACCAGCAGCACCAGCAGGAGCACCAACAGCAGTTACTGACAGAGCTGCAGCATCTCAGAGCTCAGAACCAGAGTCTGGTGAGTGATGTAGCCTAGCTTAATTGGTGTTGAAATTAGCCTCTCCTTATGGTCGTCTAACCTTCCGTATCTTTCTCGCCTTTGAAGCTTTTTAGCTCATATAGGCATTCACAAGGAAGCATTTTGTATTTTTTCAAGTTTTCGATGGCCTCTTGTTATGTATTTTTTGTGTGCTTCTTTGTGATGTATTTTTTTGTGCTCCTTTGTGATGTATTTTTTTTGTGCTCCTTTGTGATGTATTTTTTTGTGTGCTCTTTTGTGAATAAAGAATAAAGAACATTTATGAGGGTTGAGAGAGAGGAGCTCACGATGATGGCTTGGTCCGCGTGGTAAGCAAATTGCTTGGATTCTGTCACTCAGAAAAATAAGGAGCTCATGTGGTCCACGTTCTTGCTTCCATTCATCTTGTGTATGATAATGAATGTCACTCATAGAAAAAAGGGGCTCATGTGGTCCAGTTTGTTTTTGCCATAAATGTTGTGTATGATAATGAATGTCACTCATTAAAATAACTGGCTGATGTGGTCCACGTTCTTGCTCCCGTACATGTTGTGTATGATAATGAATCTCATTCAGAGAAAAAAGGGTCTCATGTGGTCCAGGTTGTTATTGCCATACAAGTTGTGTATGATAATGAATGTTTTAATTAATATGTCTTACTCCCAAAAATGTTGTGTATGATAATGAATGTTTTAATTAAGACGTATGTGTTAGGAGCTGGCAGTGCATCACGTGTTGTTGCCATACATGTTGTGTATGATAATGTTGTAATTAATACGCATATGTTAGGAGCTGGCGGTGCAGGTTGTTTTTTCCATACATGTTGTGTATGATAATGTTGTAATTAAGACGTGTGTGTTAGGAGGTGGCAGTACAGCAGGAGAGGACGGCCAAGGAGAGCGTCATGCTGCAGGTGGAGGCCGCCGCTGCAGGAGTTGAGGCTCTCGCTAAGCTGCAGCATGAGGAGAATAACCGACGGTTGGTGTTGAATAATTATAATTATTACAAGATTAATAATAATAAAAAGGTATTAATAAGAACAACCGCCGGTCACTGCTAAATAAAACTTAGTAAAAGAGTAATAATAATAAAAAATTGTTATTAAGATCAATCGCCGGTCAGGGTTAAGCAATAATTATTGAAACAGTAGGTAGTTATAGTAAAAATTATTATAAAGAACAACCGCAGGTCACTGCTAAATAATTATAATTATTTATAATAATACTAAAAATTATTATTAAGAACAACCGCAAGTCAGGGTTAAATAATAATAATAATTATTAAAACAGTAACAATAAAATTATTATTAAAAACAACCGCCGGTCACTCTAAATAATAATTATTAAAACAGTAATAATGATAAAAAAATTTTATTAAGAACTACCGCCGGTCAGCGCTAAATAATTATAATAATTAAAACAGTAATAATAAAAAAATTATTATTAAAAACAACCGCAAGTCAGGGTTAAATAATAATTATTGAAACAGTAGTTATAATAAAAATTATTATTATCGTATCCGCTACTGATGAGCAAAGCGCTGGTAAATAACCGCGTCAAAATTACTGGCAAAGATAAAAGTGCCTATCGCAGGAGCAATAATGATAAATGTTTGGTGATGAAATGATTTTATTTTTTATTTAAGAATAGTAGCTGATTTCAAATGTGAATGCAACTTAGAATTTTATTGACTATTTATTTTTTACATATTGGGGAAAAACTCAAGAAGCAGTAAGAATCAATATATATTTGTACATTGTAAATTATTTTACATGAGAAAGAAACATTGTAAGTACGAAGAATATATATATATATATATAGATGGCTCGTATACACGCATCATGAAGCAGTAAGAATTATTCTATATTTGTACATTGTAAATTATTTTTCATGATGAGAGAGAATGATTGTAAGCACGAAGAATATATATATATATATATTGATGGCTCGTATACACGCAGGATTGCCGAGGAGAAGTTCACGAAGATGCGTGAGATCTACCAGAAGCTGCGTGATGAACACGTCTCACTCATACGCTCCGTGAGTCTGTGTGAATTTGTATAGAGTGTGTTTGTGTTCATGGAATTTGTTCGGTCTCTTTCAACAACTTAATGTCTTCGTGAAATTTGTATACTGTGTGTTTGTATTCATGGAATTTGGGAATTTGTATAGAGTGTGTTTGTATTCATGGAATTTGTGTAGAGTGTGTTTGTATTCATGGAATTTGTGTAGAGTGTGTTTGTATTCATGGAATTTGTGTAGTGTGTTTGTGTTCATGGAATTTGTATAGAGTGTGTTTGTATTCATGGAATTTGTATAGTGTGTGTTTGTCTTCGTGGAATTTGTATAGAGTGTGTTTGAATTCATGGAATTTGTATAGAGTGTGTTTGTGTTCATGGAATTTGTATAGAGTGTGTTTGTCTTCGTGGAATTTGTATAGTGTGTGTTTGAATTCATGGAATTTGTATAGTGTGTGTTTGTGTTCATGGAATTTGTATAGAGTGTGTTTGTTGAGAGTTTAGTTTGTATGTGTTATTAGGGTTGTATTACTGTGTGTGCTGTATCGCTGTGTGCGTGTTCTGAATGAATACGTTAATGTAACCATTACGCAGAGTATGTTGTGTGTGTCTTGTTTGAATGCGTTATTGGAGTTTCTGCAACATAGTGTATATTATATGTGTCTTGTATGAATGTGTTATTAGAGTTGCTGCTACACAGAGTATGTTATGTGTGTCTCATATGAATGAGTTAATGGCGTTGGTATACAGTATGAGCTATATACATGCAGTATGTGTTAATGACGCTACTACACAATGTGTATTGTGTGTGCAGAAGGCGGAGGTGGACAGGGCGGCGGAGGGAGAGAGGCTGAGGCGTGAGGCTGGGGAGGCCGCCGTGAGGCGTCTTGAGGCCAAACTGGAGGACCAACAGCGCCTTATCTCCGACATGCACGATAACACTGATAAGGTATTCTGTTAATTACTTCATCTGTAGCGGCTGGAGATAAGTACGTTGACCTAAATCTATTACCACTATTACCATAACTCTGATAAGGTATTCTATTGAATACTTTATCTGTAATGGCTGGAGATAATTACGTCGATCTGAATCTATTAGCACTATTACCATAACACTGATAAGGTATTCTATTAATTACTTCGTCTTTAATGGCTGGAAATAATTACGTCGACCTGAAGCTATTACCAATTATATGTTAACTAGACACAAGTGCTACCAGCGTTTGGTTCAACAGGAGAAGGAGACGTTGCTGGTATTCTATTAATTATATTATCTGTAATGACTAGAGGTAATTATGTCTACCTGAATCTATTACCAATTATATGTTAACTACACACAAGTGTAGTTAACATATAATAATAATAACAGCGTTTGTTCCAACAGGAGAAGGAGACGTTGCTGAACCGCGTCGCAGAGCTCCAGCAGGCCTTGGACGCTGCTAGGGAGCTGGCCGATAAACAGGTACATCCTTTCTGCAGTCTTATCTTCTTCATCCGGTCTTATCTTCATCCGGTTTTATCTTCTTCATCCGGTCTTATCTTCATCCAGTCTTTACATCTTCCGGTCTTATCTTTTACCACCCAGCACTATCTTTTTCGTTTGATCTTGTATTTTACATCCGGTCTTATCGTTTTAACCCAATCCCACTTTATGCCTTTGCGAAGTTTTGGACGTCCACGGTCATGCTGATGCACTGCATTCGTCGTACGCCACCCCCAGTCAGGTCTCTCTGTCTCTTTAAATGTATTAAAGGTGTACGTATGTACAAGCTTAAGCATCTGAGAAAATCCGTGTCACGGATCACGGAAATCTTCCTATCGTTATAGGAAATATGCAATATGCAGCATTGCATGAAGTATGCAATATGCAGCATTGCCTGAAGTATGCAGCATGCAATATGTAGTATTGCATGAAGTATGCAGTATATGATGTATATGAAGTATGCAGCATGCAATATGTAGTATTGCATGAAAGGTGAGATAATGGGTGATGGGTGGGGATCAATGGGTGAGATAATGGGTGATGGGTGGGGGATCAATGGGTGAGGTAATGGGGAATGAGTGAGATAATGGGTGGGGGATCAATGGGTGATGGCTGGAGGATCAATTGGTGAGATAATGGGTGAGGGATCAATGGGTGAGATAATGGGGAATGGGTGGAGGATCAATGGGTGAGATAATGGGGAATGGGTGGGGGTTCAATTTGTGATTTAATGGTTAATGGGTGGAAATGGGTAATGAGTAGAGGATCAATGGGCGCTATAATGGTTAATGGGTGAGCTTGGTTGCGAACCCACTGCGCGTTACCGAAAAGGCCCTTGTGGTGTTAGTTGCTCTCCGGTTATTGGGCACGTTTTACTGACGCAAATATTAAATGTAATGTTTATAGAAGCAATTTTTTATGTAATTTAAATAACGGCAAATTAGATTTTGTTAGATGTTCAGAACCTCGGTGGCATGACGAGAATCTTGAAAATTTTGTGCCCATTTCGACTGTTCTGTTTTCTATTTTGGAATTAATACATAGTGAAAATGACTGCGTTATATGAGACGAGTTTAATTACATTCATGGGCTCTTCGGGTTCAAAGTTTATGTCGTAATAGAACTGGGCCTATACTTTCAAAGAAAGTTAAGAGATTGTAAGTTCATCAGCCAATCATTGACGGCCTATCAAGCAAAATCCACCAATCATAGACAAGAAAATAGAGCGTAAGTACTTACGTTCACTTAGCGAGTTTTGAAAGTATGGCCCCTGGTGGTGGTCGCTAAGGGCTGTGTTCAGTGTTGTCATGGTCATGGTTAATGGAGGTTCAGTGGTCGGTCATCTCGTACAATATGTAGTGTATTTTTGTTCATTTATATCTCTTTATGGAACCCAGGGTGAAAAGTAAGTTTCGGCGAGCCAGGGGCTGGACTATCAAAAGTGTATTAAAAACATGTAGCGTCTGAAGTACATGTAGCGTCGTAAGTACACGTAGCATCTGTCTCTTATACACATCTAGATGTGTATAAGAGACAGGGTATGCAGTATATGATGTATATGAAGTATGCAGCATGCAATATGTAGTATTGCATGAAGTATGCAGTATATGATGTATATGAAGTATGCAGCATGCAATATGCAATATTGCATGTAGTATGCAATACTTCAGTCTCCGTCAGCAGACGAGGCCGTACAGGCGAGATGTACGTCATAAGACGGCTAACACGTCTGGGGATTTGGACGTTGGTGTAGACATAACGTTACCTACGTTGCAGCTGTAGGAGCGTTGTAGGAGTCCTGACACTCGCTTCTCAACTTCAATTCTGCATTCAGCCTGACAATGAATAGTATATTGTTAAATATTATTATCAATAAACAATAACTCGATTATTTAATTTGATAATTTATTATTCTGATGGTCTCTGTTATGTGAATAATTGTGTCACCCATGTAACGGAAATGGCCTCACCTGTGGTGATAAGAGTGTCTGCTTCGGTATATGGTGCGCCTGACCCTTGATTTTGTTCACGATTTAGCCACGATATTCGTCGCTCTTTTTACTTTGGATTGCATAGAAGCCTTTGCATTGTAGCCGTGGAAATATCATGAATGTTAATTAGCGCCCCGAACTGCACGATGCGTCAGAACAAACTTGTTAGCACTGTTATTTTGTGTGTCCTATAGACCCTCACTTGGATCCATTTGCTTGTTTATTTAATATTTATATTTCTGAATTATTTTGTATGTTTTCAACGTAACAAATGCAGTCGGCGGAACACGAACAACGGCTCGCACTTCTTGAGGTTCAGACTGGCGGATTAACTGATGAACTTCAACTGAAGAACAAGCAGTTGGAGCAAGCCCAAGAACTGCTGGAACAAGCCGAGAAACAGTTGGAACAAGTCCAGGAAAAACTGGACGAAACTAACGCCGTTAAAAAGGCTACCCAAGACCAGGCTGATGAACTGAAAGCAACTTTACTGAAATCTGAAATGGAATTGGAGTCGCTGAAAACTCTGCTTTCAGCCTCCCAAGCTCACGCTGCTGACAACGCCGAGCAGAAACGAATTTTGGAAGCTGAACTAATGAAAGCTCTGGCTGAACGAGACGCGCTGAGACGCGACATCGAGAAGACCAATAACGAAAAGGAAGCGCTTGAATCGAGAAATCGTGTTCTCGAAAACCGAATCGAGGTTCTGATGAACGACAACGAGCGATCGATCGAGTCCCAGCAAGTTCTACGAACCGAGAACTCGATCTTACGTGACCACCTCGATCAATCCAGGGAAGATGTTTCTCGACTCGAGCTTCGATCGAAACAACTTGAAGAGACCCTCGGTCTCGGTCAACAAGCTCTCGATCATCTCCGTGAAGAGGCCGAAGATCGAGAAGATCGATTAGCGAGCGTGCAGCGCAGCCTGCACGAGTGTGAGATCTTAAAGGAAGATCTAGCCGAGTGCAAAGATCAGTTGATCGCACGGGTCGCTGATCTACAAGATCGACTTGCTACGAGTGTTGCCGACCAGCGGGCCATGAAGAAAGAATTCAAAAAACAGGTGTGATCTTCGAGTGATTTGTTGCTTCTGTATTGTGCGTCTCATCGTGTCTTGGGATCTGTTGATCGCAGATACAGAACTTGAAATGATTATCGTGATCCACAATATTATGTCCACTGATCGTGGTCTACAGAACTAAGGCTGCTAATCGTGATCCTCAATATCATGTCTACTGATCGTGGTCTACAGAACTAATGCTGCTAATCGTGATCCCTATTATATCTTGCAATCGTGATTATAACTCAATCTGTTTAGTGGTATTCTCAATATCAGATCTGCTTGTCATGGTTACTGATCTGTAATTTCTACATTGATTTGCGCTCTTACCTACCTTGCGTGATCTTAGAATCTAGATTTTTTTTATCTCTCTCTTATTGTGGCGTACTGATTTTACTTTTTATTCGTATGTAGTTAATCTTCGTTTTGTGGCCTATAAACAGACTCAGCTTATTGTGGGCAATATATTAGCGCTATTATTCAGAGAACAGTTTTTTCAATAGTGGTATAAAATTTGGAGACATCTCAAGTTAGTAACGCTTCGCTTCTACTCGTTGCGTTGTTCACATGTTCTTTGTAATGCCTCGTATGATGTCATAAGTCACTCTCCACAGTCCGTGATACCTAAGTGACTCCATCACTTCAGATGTGCACACATGGCATGTGTTGTTGCACATGTTCTGCATAGGTTTTACACATGGCGTGTGTTTTACATATGGCACGTGTTTTACACATGGCATGTGTTTTACACATGGCATGTGTTTTACATATGGCATGTGTTTTACACATGCCATGTGTTGCACAAATTTTGCATGTGCAGAACATGCGCATAGTGCACATGCACATATGTTCTGCATGTATGTGGGTAGTGCTACTTTCCTCCGTTTCCAACTGTCCGGTGAATTATATATAAAACTATTTAAAAATTGCCTAATTTCATGATCTGACATGATATTTCGAAAACATGATTCATGTATGATTTTTCTCAACTATTTCTTTATTTATCTCCGTTTTCATTATTTACCTCATGTTGTCCTTATTTCCAAACGTGTTTAATTGTCGCGTCTTTGTGTCTGTTATCGTGTGAACAGTTCACGCTGCCGTGGGCCGAGAGTTCACTGAGTTAACAAAATCTCTCTCGAAATGATTAATATGTGTTATGACTTATGGGTGTGTTTTGTATGCATCATATTGCTATCCCATTGTCTGTTATCGAGAACATTGCTTTATCGTCAGTACCTAGTTTAGTTTAATCTGGCTTTTGAGAGTTTTTTTATTATTATTATTTTTTTATTTTTTTTGAGAGTTTTTTTTATTATTTTTATTATTTTTTTTGGTATTTTTTTTATTATTTTTTTATTATTAGAGTTACATGCTCAAGAATTTTATGAGGAAATATTACTTTTATTGTCGCATATTGCGCTCGTATAACTCTCGTTAGTTGCTAGACGATAATTATCACTAACGACAAATTTGCAGGAATCGTTAATAATCGTGTTTGATGCAGCAGCCTTATCTGTACAGTACCAAGAAATGCTAGACAACTTCATAGGCCTGATATTTTCATCAATAAATCCCATCATATTTGGAACAAATACTTGAAGTACATGTAGACCTCATATTGTTGAATTATTTATTATATTATAGTATACGGTACTATCAACAAAGTACGGTACATGTAGACCTCATATTGTTGAATTATTCATTATATTATAGTATGCTATCAACAAGTAGCACCCTGCTCTGTTAAGGATATTTAATCCCGAGGATTTGTAGATCCCGTTCTCTCTAATTATTTTTCCTTCACCCACTCTTCCCTTGATCCAATTTCTTCCAGACCTCGTTTCCCACAGAACCAATTTCCCACAATTCAAATGCCCTTAATGCCACTTCCTCTAATTCAGTTTCCCATTTCCTCTAATACTTTTACGGATTTTCAAATTAAAGTAAAGTTTACTGTTCAAAAATCCGTTCCAACTCAAATTTAGCATGAAGGCTCGCATTCAATTTTATTTAAATTTAGAGCGAACATTAAATTTTTAATTGCCTCAAATTTTCACTTGCTTAATGAGAATCCTTGGTAAGGGTAGACCTTCAATTATAAGTTCGCAGTCTTACGCTCAACTAATATTCTATGGTTTTAAACCCATGGGTTAGGCTTTAAAACCCCGAAAAAGCCTTATTCTATGGTTTTTAAACCCATGGGTTTGGCTTTAAACCCCCGAAAAAGCCTTATTCTATGGTTTTAAACCATGGGTTTGGCTTTAAAACCCCGAAAAGCCTTATTCTATGGTTTTCAAACCATGAGTTTGGCTTTAAAACCCCGAAAAAGCCTTATTCTGTTTTTAAAATCATGAATTTGGCTTTAAAACCCCGAGAAAGCCTTATTCTATGTTTTTAAAACCATGGGTTTGGCTTTAAAACCCCGAAAAAGCCTTATTCTATGGTTTTAAACCCATGGTTTGGTTTTAAAACCCCCGAAAAATTGGGTTGTTGCAGTGGAGGCTCTCTAAGGATCTCTAAGTTATACAACTGAAGGATCAGTGAAGGATCTCATACAGTGAAGGATCTCATACAGTGAAGGATCTCATACAGTGAAGGATCTCTAAGTAATACAACTGAAGGATCAGTGAAGGATCTCTAAGTAATACAACTTAAGTAATTGGTTTGCTGCAGGTGAGCGTGCAGCAACGCTGCACTGAGGACCGCGTTGCAGCATGCGTCTCGTCCTGTGCTGCAGGCTGTGCTGCACTGCTGACTCTTGCACTGCAGCATTCGCGGTCTGATCAGCACGCTGAACTCCGCAGCACTCCAGGTCAGTGTGCAGCATTTTCAGCATGTGCTATACCGTATTATAAAGGAGTATATGTACACTTGAGCTCAGTAGTACATATCAGAGTCTACACTATAGACGGCCTACGCTACCTGGAGCACTCCAGGTCAGTGTGCAGCATTTTCAGCGTGTGCTTTGTGCTGTTTTATAAAGTAGTATCTGTACACTTGAGCTCAGTAGTACATATCAGATTGAACACATCGCTATCTTGAGCATTCCACGTCAGCGTGCAGCATTTTCAGCATATGCTATACCGTATTATAAAGGAGAAGTGTGCACTTGAGCTCAATATGGTACATATCAGAGTGCACATTTCGCTACCTGGAGCACTCCAGGTCAGTGTGCAGCATTTTCAGCATGTGCTATACCGTATTACAAAGGACTGTGTGTCCTTTTGAGCTCAGTAGTACATATCAGAGTGCAAACTTCGCTACTTGTTTTGTGATCACCCTCGTGTTAAATGGCGAAGGCCAGTTAGTTCTTAACTCCGAACTAACCAACGAGTAGGACCTTAGTCAAACACTTTAACTAACATGTAGGATGTTAATCTTAACGGGTTTAGTTGCACGGGTTTTAATGGACGAAACCCATTGCTATAAAAGTGAAACCATGCATTACGTGCATAAAGCATTACATGCACTGTACCATAGCGATTATGACCTATTTCACGCTCTAGTGCTTTGGTCGGGTCGCTCGTTCTGGTGGTCCAATAAAACATAGTTCAGGGAACAGTGAAATCTTATTATTCAAATCCAGTCAAAATTGCTCGTTCACAGCCAAACTTGTAGCAAGAGCAGCATGATCGAGCACGACATGCGTCCAAGCTCCTCACTAGAGTAATTCAAACTACTAACTATTGTATCAACTCGCCGCTGGCAAAATACTCATCTTGAGCCACCAAAAAATCCGCTAAACTAAACGTAAATGACAAAACTGAAATTGCCGCCAGAAAATTTGATAATAGTTGATTTATTTACATGAAAATATAAGAAAAAAGTTCAAAATTTCAAATTTGATAAGGCTAGAGTGAAAGAAACTTGAAACAAAACAATGCAAAAAATATTCCCGTTCTCATGTTGTTATCCCATGCTTGATAAACTTATGATTTAATCAATCAAGTTATCCTAAGTCTGAAAAGATTCCAATTCTGCCCACAACAGTGCAGCTTGATAAAAAGCTACCATCACCGTGTTCAATCACACTACGTGTAATTCTCGCTTACTTAACTCGTAACTCTCGTAACTTACTCTATGGTTATTCTATTTGTTCTTGTTCACTATTTTTTCACGCTCACTTCTTCCAGTGATTCCGCACAGTCCTGAGCTCAGGACTTGTCTATCAAAGAGTGATCTATTACGTATTATTAATTATTAAAAATTACGTATTATTAAAAAATGTGAAACACGCATCCTAAATTTCGTAATTTTGATTGGGCAAGAATTCTCACTCGGTAAAAAAATTCACCATTCCTTAAATCACAGAATTTGCCGTTAATACCGAAATTCGCTCATTCTAAATAATAATTTTCTTCCTATAAAGTCTGGAAAAGTAAAGTAAATAAATTCTTATTTTTCTCCCCTCCAGAATTCACGCTGGTATTCGAGCCAATCATCACTGGCTGCCTGGAGAGGCTGCCGCCGATCATCAGCCAATACTTCACAGCCAGCCAGTCAGTGTCAGCCGCTCCTGAGCTCATCAGCCAGCTGGCTGAGTACAGCCACAGCACAGCCAGCTTTGTGCTCTACGCCACAGCCGCCTCACATGTGGCTGCAGATATCGAGATGGCGCAAGGTTACTTATTCAAATTTCATATAAATAAATGAGAAAACCTTTAATTAAAAAACAATTAAAAAAACATAATTAAGGATAATGAAATATTAATTTTTCTGACACTTATTCACTACAAGTCAACGAATCATCTCTATCGAGATGGCGCAAAGTTACTTATTTAAATTTACCACAAATATATGAGCATACGTTTTGTACATAATTAAGGCTTATGAAATGTTAATTTTCTTAAACTTCTATAATCACTACAAGTTAATGAAGCATCTCGAATTGAAATATTTTTTAACATAAATATATGAGCATACGTTTTGTACATAATTGAGGCTAATGAAATGTTAATTTTTTCTTAAACTTCTATATTCACTAAAAGTTATTGAAGCGCCTCTAATTAAAACAATTGATGTTGAAGCGAACGCATGAAGGTCATGACTGGGTTGATTCAATAATATTCATATTCAATAATAGTACATATTCAATCTTATTCATATTCAATAATAGTACAACTTCAATAATATTCATGTTCTATAATATTTATGAATAATGTTAATGCCCAAATGTGTATCAAAAAGTGTATAAATTCTATTTATTATTCTATTTATTCACAAAAGTGTATCAAAATTGTATAGCGAACTTAGGAGGAACTTAGGAACTTACATTTACATACATAACATAGGGACATACATTTACAATTGAGGAACTTAGGTCGCATGTGTAACTGTATCTGCACTCAATAAAATAAGTGAATTTTTGTCTTATTAGCGATGCATCTCATGCCCTTGTGTAAGTAACCGAAGCTTGGTCGGGCTAAAAGAAAATGTGTCACTATTTAAACAATATTACACATTATTTTTCTGAGTGATCGTATGTATTAATTCGCTTGCCTTGCGTAGTGTGTCTGTGTAGGGATGTCAGACTCTAAGTAATACAAGCCACACACAGAGCACACAGGCTGGTGTCGCGCTGTGTGGACACGAGTTTAAACAATATTACACATTATTTTTTCTGAGTGATCGTATGTATTAATTCGCTTGCCTTGCGTAGTGTGTCTGTGTAGGGATGTCAGGCTCTAAGTAATACAAGCCACACACAGAGCACACAGGCTAGTGTCGCGCTGTGTGGACACGAGCGTGTGTGTGGAGGACGCGGCGGAGGCCGTGGAGCGCGAGATGGACGCCATGACGCGGGCCATCGCTGAGGCCACGGAGGCCACCGCCGCCATCTTGGCCGCCGCTAGGAAGGATCAGACTGGCCTCAAGCTCCAGGTTACAATAATTAAATTAATATTATAGTTTATTGATTAAATATCTTAACATTATTTATTACTGACATGTTATATACCTATTGATTAAATATCTTATCAACATTATTTATTACTGACATATTAACCCATAACCTTGGGTTTTGGAGGGACTGTCGTAAAGCAAATTTTTACAACGTATTTTTTCCTGAAATTTTATTATTAATATTTTGTCCAGCTGCAGCCAAAACAAAAAATTTTATTTTTTTGCGCATTTAAGTTGGAATTTCCCCGGTGATTGGAGAATTAATTTTTGTTATAACTTGGAGAATCATTTGAGGCGTGTCAGAGTGAAGATGGTCTGCCTGTAATGTTATTATTGCTGGTGACATCATTTCTGGTTGATGATTAAAACTTATTTTGGGTTGTCGGTGATTTTGGTTGACGGTTGACAAGTGTTTTGGGTTGTACTTCAGACGCTGGTTGCCGACCAAGGCACCAATGGTATTGTGGTGTACATAACAACATTGCAGTGATGGTGGTGTACATAACAACTGTACAGTACAGTGTTGCAGTGATGGTGGTGCTAATAATACTTATTCTGAGGTTAACTCACCAAGAGTGATGCTGTGTAGTTCTCTGGTTTAGTAACTGAAAATAATTTTTATTCAGATTGATAACACAGTCCTGATTTGGCCTTAATGAGAATGTTATTCGTTTTCTTGTGATTACACTATAATAATACCGTGAAATTTATACGGTACCAATAATATAAAGTGCATTGTGCTCTTACATGATGCGATATGTGTTGTTAGGTAAATCGTAACGTTACCTGCTTATAATATAATTTATATGTTGATAGATGATAGAATTATCATCATATGTATGTTAACTGTAATTACGATGATATGTCTCAGGTGAACGAGTCGCTGCTGGGTGTGTAGAGTTATCATTATATTGATGGTAGAGTTATCATTGTAATGATGATAGTTATCATTATCATGGTGTTATAATTACGCTGACGTGTCTCAGGTGAACGAGTCGCTGCTGGGTGTGTGCATGGAGCTGCTGAGCGCCGTGCAGGTGCTGGTGGTGCGTGCAGCGCACCTGCAGCAGGAGGTCGTGCAGAAGGGCAGGGGCGGCGCCAGTCCTAAGGACTTCTACAAGAGGAACCACCGCTGGACCCAGGGTCTTATCTCGGGGGCTAAGGCCGTCGCCATCGCAGCCCAGGCACTCATGTTCGTCTGCAGGATAATAGTAGTAGTTCCTCAATAGTTATATAGTAGTAGTTCCTCAATAGTTATATAGTAGTAGTTCCTCAATAGTTCCTCAATTTATGTCCACATATTCGATGTAGCAGCTGATGGATGGGGTGCGGGATGTGAGGGGAGAATGGGAGGGAAAGTGTGAGAGAAGGATGTGGCCTTATAAATGTTATTGGCAGACTTTGTTCGGATACGTAAGGTAAATGCTTAACGGGTGTAGGTTGATGTGGCTTGGTGATGAAGGCAGACGGGTCTGTGGATGGGTTGTGCATGGTGAATATGAGCTTTGAACAATATATTCTAAATAACTATTCGTGCTATTTCGTAAGCCTAATCAGTGTCAAACATATTTTGAAGCCCGAGGCTATAATCTCCCGGCGGAGGGCTGAACAGATCCAATGGAGTGACAGAATCGCATACGACTGGGAGGCCTTATCTTTATGTAACTTAGTCAAACCACTATTATCATGTAAAAAATATTCTACTACCCACAAACTGTGAGCTGTGGTGGTGCAGTGTTGAGAGACTCTGTCTCTCGCACACAGCTCCCAGGTTCGAGTCCCACTGCATGAGGACAAGTTCTACCGGGAAGCTCAGCTCATGGTCAACTCAGCCATTCATCCAACTCTGGTTGATAAATGAGTACCTGACTTGTCCAGGGTGTTGTGTAATGCAACCAAATGGTTCTGGCGGGTCAGCGAGCCAGTGATGGTCGTAGAACTACCAGTGGTACCAAGTGCCCGGAAAAACTGACCTATCACCCCCCTCCCTAGTCGCCACTGCCAGGATGGCAAAAATAAGCCAAAAAGGGTAATTACACACACACCCACAAACATGGCTGGTTCGCAGTGTTCGCTTCACCTCGTACTCCATCGTTATAAGAGCAGTTATAATTATATAACCTGTTACTTATGACTCCCTGTTGATGGTACAGGAGCGCGGCAGACGCGGTGGTGTGTAAGGGCGGCAGGTTCGAGGAGGTGATGGTGTCGTCCCGGGAGATCGCGGCGTCGTCCATGCAGTTGGTGATGGCGTCCCGCGTGAAGGCGGAGCCTGGCAGCGCCGCCCTCGCCGCCCTCAACACCGCCGCTAAGACCATCTCTACCCTCGCCGGTACCCTCGTCGCTACTGCAGAGAACGCCAGGGACCAAGTCGCCAGTGGTAGGTCCTCGTGAAGACTGGTTCGTGGGGGAGGATGGATGATTTAGTTGTAAAAGTTGGTCTGGAGTGGTGGGTAGTGTGTGGAAGGGTTGCGTCTATATAATCATTAATGGTGGGTTCCTGAGAAGGATGCAGTGAGTGGATAAATCTGGTTTTCGCGTGGCAGATTTGATGCGAGGTTGAATCTTTTGTAGGCGTTTGCTAAACCGGATTAGAATAAGTGGTAAAAACACAAGCTCCTACATCACCAGTGCCATGAATATGCATGCTAACACTACTTTATTTTAAACGTCGCCTAAACCTACCACCAATAACACAACTGTAGTGACAACATTATCTCCCATGCAACGCGATACGTTGTCCAATACCTCAACTAGAAACACCTTATCTCCCATGCAACACTATACGTTACCCAATACTGCAATCATTAACATGGCTCCAAGAAACGCAATTGTTTATGACGTGTTGCCGCGCCCCCTCAGATGACCTAGACTTCTCGTCGCTGTCGCTGCACCAGACCAAGCGGCTGGAGATGGACGCGCTCGTGAAGGTCCTCGAGGCCGAGAAGAAGCTGGAGGAACAGCGCGAGAAGCTGGCACATCTACGGCGACATCACTACCAGATGGCGGGACAGGTGAGGGCGGGTGGTGGGGCAGGTGAGGGCGGGTGGTGGGGAAAGAAAGGGCAGGTGGGGAAGGTAAGGGCGGGTGGCAGGGGAGGTGAGGGCGGGGGTGGTACTGTAGGAAGTGAGACCTGTTAGATCTATATGGCATCGAACTAATAGTCTAGTCTAGGGTTGGATGATGAGAGACAGTCTGGCTAGTACAGTATTTTTCTGAGGTAGTCACGCTATTACAGTGTAGTTTTAGGTGAATTTCAACTTGTAATGTAAGAGCTAATCGAAGTATTTCTGATCGTGCAGGCTGAAGACCCGCAGTAAGACGACACGACGTGGCAACCACAACTCGAATGCAGCGATCCTAAATGAACGCAAATGCTGCATCAGTGACTAAGATGGCAGGAATTTCCCATTGTTAATGCTGCTCTACACTAACTGCTACCATTAAAGGAGCCGCCTCCATCTTTATTGCTGCTCTTTAAATTAAGGTATCGCTATGTCGCTGCCTCCCATGCGTGCCGGTGGCAAGACGAGGACGACGGGCAGAAGCGATGCTCATGGAGAAACACGATTGCTTTTAAGTCTCGCTCGGTGATAATTTATTAAATTAAGCGGTTAGTGGAATGTGCATGCCTTATTATATGTGTCTAAAATTTGACAAGATGTGGCTTGTACGTGATGGTGAGATTAGGTCCATTTCTCGTGCTGGGGTGAGATTTGGCACGTATGCAGCGAAGAGTAATTTGGATTTCTTAGTAGGGAAAATAAAGAGACCACACAACGAACTTCTACTTCGGTTTTGAAGCAACTGAAATTCACAGGCGTGAATTCGGTGAATGCATTATCAGTTAACTCTTATCTGAATTTTTTCATGGTAACGAAGATGATAATGAACGCTCTAAACTTTTGCGACATGAGGTTGGACAATGAACCCACAAATGGAGACAGTGAATTGAACCCTTTGGTTTGATAGGATTGTGATTCAACCACGTGGGAGAGGAGCGGTCTATGTTGCAATTTTTGACGGTAAGGGGTAGGTAAAAGATAAGTGAACACATAAATCCCTCTGCAATATGGGATTAGGTGGATATTGTGTTGGGTTTAACTGGCAAGGTAACTAACTAGGGTTCAGTTGAGGGGTTGAGCAGGCAATACAACAAGGGTTCAGTTGAGGGCTTGAGCAGGCAGGCATGCTAGCAATGATTAAGTAACAATAATCGTATTTGATGCTTTAAAGATAAGTTTATAATCACCTTTCCCTCGTTTATATCTATTTTATAGAGGATACAATTTAAGACCATCCATGCCTGCAAGTGTCGTGGTTGGAACTTTACGCGTTAGACTTTCTCTTCAGTGTTCGTTTATAAAGTTCAATTCTATTTATATGAAGTTTACCTAATTGTGTTCCGTATACGCTTGAACTTTATTAGGAATTAAAACAAAAATTCTTCTTCATCTATATTTATTTCTTTATTATCTATAAGTATTTTCTTCTATCATTGGATGAGGCTACAACTGTAGGATACTGACCAATGGCAATAATACATTAACTGTATTACGTACAAGTAATATTTCTAATAGCTTAGCACAATAGCGTTTAAGTATTATTACTTAACTCTTCTCTTAAGACTTTCGCTGGACACGTTTACAGGAAACCTTATTCTTCCCGTGCGCTCTAACGCTTCTTTTTTCAGGACCAAACTAAGATGAAGAAGGAGGGAAAACGAACTTATGATAAATAATAAAATTTATGACTGAGTAGAGTACGCAATATTATTGAAATAATTGAATAAGAATACGTATATTAATTTATAATATTCATATGTCATGCTCACATGGAGGTCAGGGGCCATACTTTCAAAACTGGCTAAGTGAACGTAAGTACTTACGCTCTATTTTCTTGTCTGTGATTGGTGCATTTTGCTTGAAAGGCCGTCAATGATTGGCTGATGAATTTACGATCTCTTACCATACTTTGAAAGTATAGGCCCAGGTCGCTGCCAATGACGGCATTTAGATACGTCAAACACTGTTATTTATATCACTCCCTGATGGTGAAATGATAGGGGATGATGGTGCACATCATTCCACTATCAAATATGGTGCTGGGCCTATACTTTCCAAAAAAAAAGTTAAGAGATCGTAAGTTCATCAGCCAATCATTGACGGCCTTTCAAGCAGAATCCACCAATCACAGACAAGAAAATAGAGCGTAAGTACTTACGTTCACTTAGCGAGTTTTGAAAGTATGGCCCCTGGACACGATAGTAGTGACAGGATGATAGTGGAATTAAATAGTGACGGTAATGACAGTGGAGATGAATAGTGACGTCTATTACAGTGAAATTGATGCGACAGGACTGATGAGTTAGTTGAACTAAAAAGATCGGTAATGGGGTACAATTGAATTCCATATATACGGGTGTAAGGGGTGAATTCCATACAATATATGAAATGGTGTAAACAGTAACAGGTAGGGAGAATATTCGACTGGAATGGCCGTTAGATGGGCGGAATAGTGGCTGGAATGAAGGGCCTTTGGATTTAAAAGTTGATAATGTTTGGCAGTTAGAACGAACAGTGACGTGAATGGTGATAAGTGGTGATGAGAATGGTGTTCAGTTTTAATTGAATATTAAAACGATCTAAAGTTAGTTGTGCGTATTGTTGTCATTTTACTTTAGTTTATTCTTGATGCAAAACTTATATTGATGCCTTATTGCCAGTAAGTACAGCGTGCAGCCTGTGCTTATGTTGAATGTTTGGTGCTACACTGTTAGAAAAAACGGTGAAAAAACGGTCACACTGGCGTTCTAGTGGCCGGTCTCCCCGTGAAAATAAACTGTTTCGCCGTTTTTATCAGATGTTTTACGGATTTCTAGTGTTAAATTAGAATTAAAACGGCGACACGGTGTTTCTTTTCACGTGCCGACCGGCCACTGAAACGCCGGTAATACCTTTAACGGTAATTTTCTAACAGTGTAATATTGAATGTGTTGCGGGGATAAAAATGCAGTAACTGTAGTGTGTGTGGTGCAGTAGCTGGTAAATGTGTTCACTTGTCTTCAATATGCGATGTTCAATAAATGAATGTGATGTTGCTTTATTTGTTGCGGTGCAAAACAAGGGTGAAAAAAACTTCAATTGTTATTTTAAGCAGATGTTTTGTTGTGTTTTTAAGTATCTTATTATTATTGTAATACAGAAATGATTAATTTTCTAAGATTAGATGATTAATGAGATATACATTAATGATGAGCTATTGATTATGTATTATGGACAGCACACATCACAGTGATGTTTACTACCATTTAGCCTCCGCTTCAGTATGTTGCACAAACTTCACTGTTGTTTTGAAGTTGTTTTCAGTTCAGCACTGTTGTTTTCAGTTGAATTGGGGCAAAAAACTGTTTTCAAGTAGAAGTTCTGGTACATTTTTATCTCTATTTGTGAGTTTTTCTTCTTTTTCTCTTCATTTCTTTCTCGTTTCCCTGTACGCGAAATCGCAGCGCGGGCTCCTGGCTGTCAACATTCCCATTCCAGATTCCAACATTCGCTCATATTATTCGCCGTAATATTTGCTTAAGTTCAGAAGCGGCCAATTTCTCGTCCGTGATTGGCGTGTTTAGTTTGCCAAGCCGCCAGTGATTGGCTGACCGAGTATGGAACTCTTGACTATTTTTAATAGTTCGGCTCCTGTCATCTGATAATCATTTTAATACAGATAAAGCAAGTGTTCGTAAAGGTTCATTCAACGACTAAGAAGCGATAAGCGTGGAGTGATGTCAAAGTAACGTCATCACACTTCACGACCTCACTCGTCATCTCTATTCTGCTAATTGAAAAATATTCGATACCGGAACCATCGTAATTTTAATGTTCATTAGTATCTCTATAACTGTTTAAAATCATTGTAAGGGTTTGAAAATTATTCAAATCTCATTTTTATATTTATGTAAATTTCAGTTAAATTAAGATTTACATCGCTCACACTTTGAGCATATGCTGAATTGATTTCATGATTGAGGATTGATTTCATGATTGACGATTCTTATGTAAATTGATTTATTATCGGAGTGTTCTGCAGTATTGTAAGAATGTAATCCTCACTATATCAAATTGGCGTGTAGAATATGCTCCTTTGTAGATAACCACGCGAGGCTATGATTAATAACGCATTTCTTCACTCCTGTATCAATCTATTGTCTTCATTCCAAACAATTTCATGAATAAGAAAAGATTGGTGTATAGTGAGGATGAGCTTAGTTAATAACTTATAATTGTCAATCAACTATTCCATTAATTTCTTTTAATAGATGATAGATTATGGCAGTACATCGTGGCCATATTACCGTTAAGAAAATTAGGCGAGGACATGGCTAGAAATTCTGCTATGATTGCCGTCATATTTTCATATAAAATTTTGCTATCACAATATGATGGTCATATTGTCATTTGACTTTTTCTTTTCCCCCATATTGTTTTTCGTGAACCCTTTTTTCATTAAACATTTCATTTCAATATTTATTTTCATTTTATGATGTGCGAATTCGCCAAAATCTTCTGTAATTTGACATCAACCTTCTCTGTTTATCCGCTGTTCTTCCTACTTCGCTACCTTCATCTCTGTATCTACTAGCACTCAAATTCTGCTAGTAAAGAGAGAAAGGGAAGATCTAAGCACTTATTTTTACTACAACTAGGTTTAGTTTACTTAAGCCTTGTTGATGAACTAGCCACCTATTGTTATCACAACTAGCACTAGTTAATAAAGCGTTGTAGTTTCGTTATCATATGGCACCAAATGTTCAAGAATTGTTAAGTAATAGCGAACTTCCAGATGCAGGCGCTGGCTGCTCTATATTTCCATGTGTGTTCTGATCGTATAAATATATTTTATTCGAAGATACCAATTCTATTCATTGTAATCCATTCGGCTGTGTATTTACAATTAAACCTGGCATGCTCCGTACATTGGGATGTTTTAAGTGTCAAACAATAACAGTTTTGCTTTATTGTTTGTGTAATGTACATTGGGAGGTTTTAAGTGTCAAACAATAGCAGTTTTGCTTTATTGTTTGTTTAATGAGTTGCTTGGTAGCAGGCTGCTAGCCTAGCAGGTTGCTTGGTAGCAGGCTGCTAGCCTAGCAGCTTGCTTGGTAGCAGGCTGCTAGCCTACCAGGCTGCTAGCCTAGCAGGCTGCTAGCCTAGCAGTGCACCAAGCAACCTCACTGAGCACCTCCGGCTGAAGCTAGCTCAGCTCCTGGAGAGTGACCGACTGTCCGAGAACAACTTGAATAACAGAGTTCCTGTTCCAAAACCACAGATGTATTCGTAAGGTGAATTTTTTACGAATAAATAGACAAATGCAGCAGACGAAGACGTGCAAAATCGATTCGAAATTTACCAATTTACTTCTATTGGAAACGGAATTTTTATTCCGTTTTCAATACAGCGTTTTATTCCTCATGAAATCGAGATAATGATTATTGACAGCCCACCTGTGATCAAGCGTCGCACCTCCGATCATGTCTTTACCAAAGTGAATACCAACAATACTTCTTATATTGGCCTATATCAATTTTTTATAGGAGAACAAATGCTTTACTTTCGTTACGCAAATTTAAAAATACCTCTGTGGTTAAATGTAAGTTAACTCAATTAAATTTTCATGACACCAATACGTGATATTCAATTTATACGAGATGTGATACTTGAATGTGTGAAAATGCCGATCTACATGCAGGGCTTATTCAGCAAACGAAGCCCGCAATGCCTTTCCTACAACTTAATAGTAAAAGAAAGATTGTTGATTAAGCATAACACTACGCTTTTTCATTTCGTTGATTACTTTCTTTGACTTGTAATCTAACCTTAATTAGTTTAACTTCGCACGATGCCTATTTACTTACTTTAAGTTAAATTTGCAATTTGTTCTTCATTATATTAATTAAACATACTATGCATTATACTTAGTGGAACAGCGTCATTCAAATTTGTTGGAAATTTGTCATTTCAAAACACATTTACAGCCAGAAACGATGTGAAATTTTAAAGTAGTAGAAAATATTATGCAAAATTAGCTAATATCAATGACGTCGTTTCCAGGGCCAGATCTATTATTATATATCATTAAGTTTTCATCTATACTCTCAATATTAAAGAAATCAACGGACTTAAATCTCCTTGATAACCGAAAATGTACCGGCATTTTTGGTCCGGAGAAAACTTGTCCGTTCAAACAGACTTCGAGCAAACAACATTTTATACAACTGGAAGAAACCTTTTATTCCAGGTTTAATTTATACCTGTTAGGATATAAACAACAAATAGATATGACATTATCTAAATTTCAATCAATAGTGATTGTCATACTGGCTTCCGATTTGTATGTCTACGGCTTCGCGATGCATTCCGAAGTTTCTAGCCCATCCGCAGTTCAAGATCACGTGATGTTCAGCTCAGCTATGGTCTAATTATTATTCCTTATTAAGATGCAGTCTCCTGAACTATAAACCTGCTTACCAGTCTTCCTCCCTATATAGCCGGCCGCCTTAGCTAAAAAACTTAAAGTCGAGTCCTTATTTATAGGCCTTTGTCTTCTAGCAAATAATTCAAGTCTGCCACCAGACCAAACAAACGTGCTGATGCTTAATTAACCTCGCTGTTACCTTAAATTTATAAAAATTTACACATTAGGCTATGCCTTAAAGTTGTTGATAAGGAATAGTGGGCAATACATCACTCAGCTTGACGATATTTGTAGGAATAAATGATGAATTGATGCGAAAATATCCATGAACATCACTCATGTGGAAAATATCACTCATGTTACCCATGTATATCTATATTCGAATAGAGAAAGCATAAAAATTGTATACACTGGCAAAACAAAAGCGTTGCTTTTACAGTACAAACGACAACTTTTTTTTAGTCTTGTTATTTTTATGTTGTGTACAAGATTAGTTCCAATAGATGCTGCATAAAGTAACAGAAAAATCATGGTTGACAAGAAAATTTACAACGAAATTTACTGCCAGTTATTATTTTTATTGACCTATTTATGCCATGCTTAACGATTGGATTCCACTAGTATATGATTTGATCTATTTAATTCATTATCGGACATTGCACTCCAATGTTATAGAATCTCTGGAAGCTTAGGAAATCGCTTGGTTTAAAAATATCAACTTTTAAATAATTAACATTAACTATCAGGTTTGCTCGACGATCCTCGTGGTAGACAATTCCTGCAATTCTAATCCCGTCATTTACATAAACCATAATCCCATTAATAATAATTAATATTAATAAAGCTTATGTATTCTCATTAAATATTGCCTCATTTAAACCCACATTTTATATAGAAGATTCGCATTTTGGACTCGCATTTACTCTCCTCGACTCGCATTTTACTCTCGTTTCAAAATATGGGAAAACTAGTTTGCGTCTTTTCAACTTTATTTATATTCACCAATTATAAAATCATGTTTCAATTTTTGATCTAATCATTTCCTCCCTTCCTTCCAATCCTTTCCTATTATCTCACTAGGAATGAAATTTTCAGGTCCCGGAGAAATCCAGATATTAATATCCTGATATGCGCTCGTGTAGCCATGTAGTGTCAGGCTTCAAACACACACTCCCTATAAACTTCAAGGAATTTATTAATACAAGGTTAGGAAGTAAGTAAGAGATCGAACAAACTGTAACTGTAATCATCACAGGCGAAAACTGTGTGGAGCTTGATCAGGTAATGGCCTTTTCAATGCATGAAACGCGTGCTTAAAAACATATTATGATCAGGAGAATTCTATACAAAATTTCAAAAATTATCAGTACCTAAAAAATCTTAGTTTACTCGACAAAAATTTTGCATCAATCCACAAAGTGAAATGTGATTTATTTTAGGAAAAGAGCAGCTATTTCTACTGGAGTATTTTGAATAAAAGGCAGTAAAAATGTAGTTACCTTTAGACTGAATGATATGTGGAAAGTCAGCCAATTGGACATGATGGTTACTGGGGTGTTTCTGGGAAATAGCAACTAAGAAATGCACTCAAGCACTTGCATCATTAGTCTGCTTAAATCTCATGTTTACCTAAAATTTGAAAGCAAGGAAACGATAAGTAAGTTCCCAATGTATCCATTGACAACGTTTTGTAGACCAGCTCCATCATCAGTTCAATACATTTTATAGAATATAAGTGAAATCATCAGTAAAATTATAAATCTACACAAAAGAAATTAAAACCTGAGTTACGAGAAAGCGACATGGGAACATAAAACCTATCTATTTCAAGAGAATAAGAACTATACGCATTATTAAAACAAGGATTACGTTTCGAAAATTATTAAATCCGAACAGATGTGGAACCGATTATCTTGAAATCGCTCTCAGATATAGTCACGTCAGTGTTCAGCATGAAGGCGCACAGCTGAATGAGAAAGCTTCAGGTTAAGAAAGTGGCAGATTCGAACGAAAACTGTTTTCAGAAACTCGAAAGTTACGCAACGTAATTCCAACGAAAAAAGTTACGCAACGTAACTCCAACGAAAGAAGTTACGTGACGTAATTCCAACGTAGGCTGATGCGCATCTCGTACAATTGTTTTCATAAACCAGAGAAAAGGCCGCAGCCGAGCTGAGACAACATCCCCATGACAGAAGAAGGAACCAATTTTGAAATTATTCGCCAGCAAAATATGCAAGCTAACACTCGGAAAATATTCCGGACATTAATTTTTCACGATTTTGGACACTTTTTAGACGATTTATCAAATTAGAGTAGAGTACAATGAAAAGTATTCCCATTATTAAAGCTTAAATAAAATATTATTTTTGTTTCATAGTTTTCATTTTGAGCTATTCCAGTTGTTACATTACTATTCACCTAGTCATTTTAATTAAACATTTGATCCTAGTGTTGCATCTTTACTGATGATGCTGTAAAGTAGGCTAACGATGAATGATGAAGTTTTTTTAATCAGTAAGTTAAAGGGTCTGTTAATAATGAATGATAAATTTTAGTTTAATTAAAAATAAGTTCGTTTATCTGCCTGCGAAGAATTTTACTGAGAAATAATCTCAATAATTCACTTAGTGTCATCTCATGATACTCAAAAAAAAAGTTCCATAACGATCACCTTACGAGGCTTTGAGTAAACAACAATTTTGTTCTTAATATTTTTGAAAATAATACCGAAAATCATGGGTGACGTCTGTTTTCCCTTAATAACCCAACAATGCCTTAAATTACCGATGATAACGTTCCATATGGGAATACCAAGAATGTGTTTTCAGCGCATTTTCTCATTTATTTTCGCTATTGTGCTCGTCATGTCCGTCCGTCCGTCTGTCCGTCCATCCATCCGTCCGTGACCACGTTTTCGTCGACGGGAAAATGCGCTCTCTGTCACTCACTGCAGTGAGAACTGAGTTATATTTTTTTTAATGGGCGATAGGCTTACAAATTATTTTAGTTTGATGGTTGACGCATATATACCCGCACCTCAGCTGGAGGCTGGTGCTCCCTTGTTAGTCTGTCACTGACGGTCCTGAAGAAAGGTGTGTGATGCAATTTTTTCCTGCTAGCCTCGTTCGTATACTAAGGTTCTTAACAGGCTTTGTACTAATAAAAGAATCACTTTGCTGAATGATAATTGAAAATGCTGCCATATCTCCTCAGTGTTGGTGGCAGCAATTAACACCAAAATATAGAGAAACATTTGAATTTTCTGTTGTCTCGTGGCGTATGTAATTCTTACCAAAATAGATAGATATAATGTTGTTACCAAAATAGATATAATGGACCCCAAAATAGAGGGGATATTGTTAATTCTGTTCATTGTTGTAGGCATCAGCGGTCACCATTAAATGATAATTCAATGTGAAACGATTATCGTAACTATACGTGCGATTGTCAGCAGCGGCTATTATCTTCTATAAAACAAAATTCCACGTCAGCACGCCACTCTTGGCCGATTCAAAATGTATCACATACCAACGAGTATTGGTGGTTACAAAAAAAAATATCACTAATATTAAACGAAGTGCATGTGACTAATAATTAATCAATGGCACTGATCGAGATCGATATATATCGGCTCGATTGTACAAGAATCTTGGTTAAAATACTTAACGGCAAAAGCGGTTACTGTTCCGATTTAATACTGCATATCATAAACTATTCGATCATATCATAAACTATATCATAAACTATTCATAAACCATAATTTGAGGCTTCAACTCACAACCTTAAATCAGGACCCAAACACACATCCGAAATAAGACCTTAACATACACAAACACCATTTAACGTAGCACCCTTAACGCTCGATCCTAATTCAGTACCCAATTTTTGCCACCGTAGCATGAACACGGAGGAACAAAGACATGATCCCCTCAAGAAGACCCACACTGGCAGCCCCAGCTACCAGGACACCAGGGGGCACTGGGGAAGTAGGATGGAGTTCCTACTTGCCTGTCTCGGCTTCTCGGTGGGCTTGGGGAACTTGTGGCGGTTCCCCTACCTGGCGTATGAAAATGGAGGAGGTGGGTGGCTGCATTACTGAATTCCCTAAAATTATGTTTTGTTGAAAGAGATTTATAAATATTATAAATTCGGTGCGGATCGGCCAGACGGACACTGAACCGGCCGAAACTTGTGGCGGTTCCCCTGCCTGGCGTATGAAGATGGAAGAGGTGGGTGGCTACATTGACGAGTTCCGCGGTGTATCATTTGAACCGATGCGTCTTCATCTATATATTTGATACATATAAGGTTCGTTAAAGACCAGAGAATATTTGTCATTATACAGGGTGAACCAGAATTAACTGACCCTTTTAATTTATTAATAAATAAAAAACTAAGAACGTTATGAAGTTGAAACTTGTTTTATTTAAAAGAAGCACATTTTTATGGTAATATTGTATCCTAGTTTTTAGGATACAATAACTAACTAGGATACAATATTACATACAATATTTTAACTAATACAATAATAAAATATTGTAAAAGGATACAATATTTTAACTAGGATACAATATTACCGTAAAAGGGTTCTTTTAAATAAAACAAGTATTAACTTCATAACGTTGTTAGTTTTTTATTTATTAACAAATTAAAAGGGTCAGTTAATTCTGGTTCACCCTGTATTATCAATTCGTCTTCGGTGTGATTAGAAAGTTCGAATATTAGGTTTTCAATTGACATTTTATTATAATTTAATTTACGACGTTTCGAATACTCAATTTTCATTATCAAGTAGGAGAAGAGTTTTGCAACGCTTAAAATTGAAATATCGGAATGACAAAAGTAATTACATATGGTAATTACACAGCCTAAACATGTAAACCTAAAACAGCCTAAAATTTAAACCTAATATTACTCAGAGAACAATTACAACGTCCTGGCAAATCCTGTGGTTTCCAAATTTATAGCAGGAGACTCATCCTTGATGATGAGAGCCTCTGTTATCGCCAGTCTTGTAGCGACGAAGCCTGCTGCAGGCTTCCAATGTCGCTCGAGTGATGGTTTCGTTGTGAACTTTTCTCATATGGTTCTTTGGCCCCTATATTTTAGATGACATGTGAGGCGGCGGCTTAAGGTCGTACTAGTTAAACCGATGTAATTTATATTCTGGTGAAGTCTACAATTTTCCTTATTGCAGGAAAATTTGTAAATAATATCGGTTACTTGTTGTGGTCCCGATTTTTTGTACTGATTATTTTTCATGACTAAAATCTTCAGTTTTTTTCTTTTGTAGTATATCAAAAGTCTGATTCGGTCAGTTACTCGTGTGCTTCTAATGTTATTCTGCACAATTGAATTAAAGACTGGCTCGTCTGTCTTATAGCCGATGTTGATCGGATTTGGTTTGGATCGGGCAGGGTGGCCCAGTGGTTACAGTTCAAAGTACCGTGCATGATTGGAGCAGAGAGGTGCGGGTTCGATCCCAGCTCTGTGCGCCAGTTTCTGGTCAGAAACGGCGAGGAGGCCGGGCGGTTAAGCACAGCAGAATTGTAGCAGTGAGTTGCGAGTTCGATACCGCAACAAGCTGTGGATGTTCTGCGATGTTAAGAGTCGGCGACAGGCCTACGGCCTACTAAACGCTCAAACCGCTATTATATTATTATTATAATAAATAGTCGTGGTGCTTCCACTGGATGTTGGATCATTGTTAAGTCAGTTTTGACGTGGTCGATAATTGGAAATTTCTGAGTCGATATTTTTGTTCGCGTAGCCGTAATTTACCATAACTATGTCATTCCAAAATTTCAGTTTTATGCGTTGCAAATTCTTCTCCGACTTGATAATGAATGTTGAACATTCGAAACATTTTAAATTAAATTATAATAATATGTTCTTTGAAAACCTAAAATTCGAATTATAACTAATTCTACCTAGTTTCTGACTCGCTGAATTGAGAAAAACAATAAGAAAATTGCTTGTGAGGGAAATATGAAATTAAACGAGATGTAAAATAAAATCTTGCATTAAGCCTATATGTTACCGTATTTCAACTGATTGGAGTCAATTGATTATAATTCGGACGCCTTTTATGATATCAGTCTTCTGATCTTTAATAATTAGTGTTTCCTTATTTTTTAGCATATCAGCTGTGTCAATCTTACTACGAAGTCAAGACCACTTGTGTTTAAATTAAACAGGTACTTTTTTAGCCAGGTTACTTCAATCGCAATTTAATCAATAGGATAAAGTGAAGAAAACACCACGTTGATTCGCAATATCTTCATCGAAAACGTTTCGGAGGCCATCTTGATCATCGGTTCAACAATTAATAGCATACGAAAATTCAATATTCAAAGAAATAAATTAACTTAGCCATTTGTGCCATTTTAATATGTTATGTGATATTTTATATAATTTATGTTTGATTATTGATATCATATTGATATTTGATATATTAAATGTGACATTATGATGAAATTCCATACGGCTGTAAACGCCCATTGTTCCGAGCGAGCCGTTCATATGTTCACGCTCTTACATGAAATTTCAGATCCAGAATTTTTTTCACTTTACTGTCATCTTTTATACTGAAACGACGAGAAAAGGAAAATTTATTACATTCAGGCAAATAATTTAATATCAAGCAAAGACAAATTTCACTGTGGATAATTTTTGGATATAACTATCTATATGTACTAACACAATGCGACACAAACGTCCAGCCTTTGACTCGCATATTTATGATTTCAGTCGATGGCATCATGACGCAGAAGACAGCGTGATTACGGACTAGTCTGGATTAGAGAATTTTAAGTTGTCGTGTCCTACTCCTTATTTATTTCCAACCTTTCTTCTTGGTCTTGATGTAGTAATTTCAACTTTCAACCTAAACTGTAATCATCGATATAAGGGGGTGGCGTCGACAGGATTTATAGTTATTATCAAGAAAATAACGAACACCACGATTGTTTCTAAACACTCACTGTTTGTCCGACTCTCTCTAACGCCGCCGCGTGACTGCCCGCGGTGGCCCGCTCGCTCCTGTTAAATACTCCCCCGGTCCCGCGCATGCGTGCTAGGCGGCTCGAGCTCCACCCCTTAATTCAAACTCCGCATCTAAACCCCCAAATCCCCCTATTCTTATCTTATTTATTCCTATTCCTAATCAAGCGTACCAACTTGAGGTACTAAGCTAAATGGTAATAATGGTTTGGGTACTAATAATGGTAATAAGCCCATATGTACACTCCACTCCAAATTTATACCCGAACATAAGCACACTAGAGAAGCACACCATGAAGTCTAGTTGTCACGAAAAATGCTGAGTTATTCCTGGCCTCACTTCCTTTTGACGGACAGATAGTAACAGCTAGATTGCAAATACTGTAGTAAAAAAATCATACGACGTATATAGTTTTATTTCGCAAAAGAAGCTTCTACTGAGGCCTCTTTTCCAGCGGCGTTCCTGTTGCCGTACCTGCTGCTGCTGGTGATCGTAGGTCGTCCCCTCTACCTGACGGAGGTGGCACTCGGGCAGTACAGTCAGCTGGGACCCCTGCACACCTACAGGAAACTCACACCTCTCATGGCGGGTATGTGGGGCCTGGTAAGAAATCTATTCAAAACAATCGTATTTATCGGTACGGTCACATTGGTACAGCCGTGAAAATCGTCCAGTTTTGAATGAATCCATAGAATCAATACATCGCTCAACCGCACTTGGCTGTGAAACGAATCTCTTTCCGGAAGACTTAGGCGGGGTTCACATCATGCTGTCGGGCACGTACAAGGCATATGTCAGTCACGGTCCAATATCTTTAATGCATTTCCATAGAAGCATTCACAACATGGGCAGGGCATGTGTCTTGCACGGCTGGTGTGAATGCAACTATCTATGATCAGTCAGTCTTCTTGAACTTATCAGATAGAAGCTCTTACGAGTTCCAAGATGAAGAAGCGATGAAGCTGTTATTTGTCGCTGTCTTGCGTCCGAACCTAGAGTTTATAAACGCTCTGTGAGAGAGTTTTCAAAGAGGTGCAACAAGGATAATTCCTTGTTTCTTCGTTTTACGAAGTAAATTGAAGATTATGTAGCCACCAGCCTCTGTTATTGAAGTTTGCGCGATGACCTCATTGAAGTATACAAGTATACTCATGGTTTATACAAGGTCCCAGAAGGATTGTGGGTACCTCATTGAAGTATACAAGTATACTCATGGTTTATACAAGGCCCCAAAAGTGTTACTAGAATTTGAAACAAGAACCAACAACGGCTATAAACGAAAAAACTGCGTTGCAACTTATCCACGCGACAACATTTCTTTTCGCTTCGAGTCACCGACATGTGGATGGCAGACTCTCCGAGTACATCGTTGGCGCTCCGTGTATAAACGCGTTCAAGAACAGACTAGATAAAGCTTTGGAAAAATATATGTTCAGACTTGAAATGTCTAGCACCATATCGAACCCGATGGAAGTCTAGTAACTATTTCAAACTACCGTCAGTTTTGAAAATATCCGGTCAACGGACATGTTTATAGATCTCCTGTGAACACGGCACTAAAAGTATAAGAATCGGCGACAGGACACACCAGGCCTTTTCTTCAGCGCCGACATCACTATGACATGATATGATATGATATAAAACGTTATGGTATGATATTGAAACGCATTAAAGAATATTGGACTGGACCGTGCATGGCGGTGGCAAATGCCTGTCGCGTGCCCGGCAGTGTGGTGTGAATCCGACCTTACCATAGTCGTCTGTGTTATACTTATACAGTACAGTGATATCACAGTACGATTGACATCAGTACAAATTTAATTTATTACTTCGAAGTAAGATTTTAGGTAAAATAATGCTAAGAATAACAATGCATTATTAGTTAGTTTCATCGAGGTTATTCAAGAACTGAACCAAAATACTGATGGTCACCGTACATCGATTTTGATTTTTACAGTTTTTATCAACGTAAAGGCTCCTTTTTCATTGCTTTACGAAATTTATTTATGTCCTCGTGCCAAATACCGTGTCCACCTGTCCCTTTTTTATTAGATATTAAGCACCTTTTATATGAAAAACATAATAGTACTCAGGTAACCATAATCTTTTTGTGGTATAATCCTGACCATTTCTATTTTAGCCCAAGTTTGAATTCAGGGAAACTGTAACAAATATCGTGTTTTTGCGCCTCAGTTAATGTAGAAATGAAGCTCTTTATTTTGCAATATAACGCGAAATAACGTTAACGGGACTTCTAATTACTAAAGAAGAACCGTGTATACGCTTGATAACCATGCTCATGAAATTGCTTGTGGTGAGAAATCAATACAATTGAACAAATTATTTGTTTTTGGATTTCAGAAGCTAAGTCCATTAATAACTTCAAATTATGCTAAAAAATTTTTGTTCCGACTAGAACATGAAATGTATAAACTCCGGCATCAAAATTCGATATCAACCACTTCATTTTGCGGAGTCACTTCAATAAAAGATTCAGCGCCTTCCTTATTCTTTAATTTTCACCTGTACCAAAATTCAATAATTTAGACAATTGATTACTTAAACTTCTCAAAAAATTTCATGAAATGGAATTCCAATCTAAAACTTCAATTCATAAATCAAATATTTTGCTAATAATTCCAAAAATGATAGTAATATAATTAGAAGGATATTTTTCTCAAATAATATATATGACTGAATTCGAAACCAACCAGGTCTAGGATACCTGCAGCTCCTCTCAGAACTCACTTCCTCCTCGTACATGATCATCCTGGGCTACTCCCTGCACTACCTCTTCACCAGCCTCACTCACATCGGACATACCGTGCGTATACTATCAGAAAACCGTGTTAAAAATAACGATAATAATAATATGGGAACAGCTGAGAAATGTTTCCTATTTAAATGCCCATAAAAGGTAATGAGCTTAACATGCGGAATATATAATACTTGTAGAGAACTAGAGTGCAACGAATATATAACAGAGATCAGTACTAGAAGTATATTATATAAGTACATCGTAAATTTTTATTGTAGTAGCCATGGACAAAACTGATTACTGCTTGTCACTAAAATTGAACATAACAACAATAATAAAAAATTACGCTCATTCTAAACCAAATAAAACCAAGCATAGTAGCATGTACCTCAAAAATAAAAAATTTAGACTTTTCCGATATTTTGGCTTATTTTAAAGGTCCAAGAACTGCGCATTTAAAGAGCCCAAAAAAATTTTTGTGCGTTCATTTGTTCATTCACGACAGCTTTTGAAGCGAAAATATAAAAACCTATACCTTCACTGATCACAAATTTCAGCTTTTAACTCTCTTGAAAACTTGTAATTTTTATCTTAAAAATCTATCTCCTCCTATTATTTTCAAGCTATAGTATTGAGAGATATACCATTCGAATCGCAAAGACGTGATCTAGCGATTATCCGGTCACTTTTTCTGATTTCTTTTTTGTTTGGATTATATATTGAAAAAAATCGGGAGGAGGAGGGGACAAAATAAAAAAAAAAAAAACAGAAAAATCACAAAAAAGTTTTAAAAATGGAAAAAGTGATCATATGATCGCTAGATATGGTCTTTACGAATCGAATGATATGTTTCTCGATGTTGTAGCACGTCAGTTCAATGAGGAGATACACCAGTAACCTCCTTTTTCAAAGTACCCTCCATTTTGCAATTTTCTATAAATTTCACGTTTTTTTTTAATTTTTTTCGAAAAATTTGCACGAACAAAAGTCTCAGATTTCTGTTTTACATAGTTGTACCAAGTTCCAAAGTGATCTGTCCATATATAAAAAGTTTTTTATCCAGACGCTCCCGTTAAACTTCATTAGATTTCCAACAAATAAGCAAATGCAATTACGCAAATCATTCTTGAATTCATAAATACTGCGACTAAGTCAATAATTCATCAAGTGGTCTTCGTAAATGTGTGCTAAATAAGTTAAAGTAAGGAATGCGTTGTATATAAGTTTGTATCCATTTTCTCCCTCAAGTTGCCTTGGTCTAAGTGTGACCCCGCATGGGCGAAGGAACCATGTCACGTGATAGGGGTGACTACATCTTCATGCCGCGGCGCTAACAACACAGAAGCTTGCGCCTTTTCCGACCAATCTTCATCTACGCAATACTGGAGGTGAGACTGAATGCTTACATTTTAACCATCTCTTTCCAGCCAGAGAAGATTAATTCGCATATTATTCTGGTTGCATTAGAACTAAATTTACATCAGGATCGATTATTTAATCATTCTAAACTATAAATCCAAAATCTGCTGGTAGCTATTCAGTCATTGAGATGATGGATTAGCCGATTGGGGTCATTTCTTTCATGAGTGATGAGCTTGTATATGAAGTATGGTTGTAACAATGAGACTATATGAAATTCATTTATATTGGAATGAAAAGTTATGACTTAATTAAGTTCCATGCCCATTCATACGGATAAAACTTTGAGCCACTTCACATAGAATAATGTAAATGTGTCGAACGATGACCCACTCAAGTCCTTTTCATTGGGGGCATGATCGAAACTTAGGGAAAATTCCACACTCATGCATCTGATGTTAATCAATAAATTTTCACAACTGTCTAACTCTTATCTCTAGTACGGCTCTATATCTCATGTGTTAATACACGGGGTTCCAGAAGGCAAGAAAGGATGATTTGAGTGTCACGCCATGTGAAGTGGACATACATACCTAACTTTAAAGGGTATAGTGTGGGGGTATCTCCGCGTCTACAATTCAATAACAATGGACATTTTCACGATAGTACATCGTGTGTTCGTGTACCAAACGTTCATTGGAAGAAGCCGTTCTATCATTAATAAATAGACGTTTTGAAAATCATTTAAATATTGGCCGTCATGATCATGTTCTGATGTTTAAACCAATAACGAAGTGGTTGAATAACTTGAACAAAATAGCTCTGTACGACCCGCAACCACACGAGAGGTGGTTGAACAGTACAGGCTCCCGTAAACATCAAATTTACGTCGAGCAATTAGAGCAAGCCCTCGACGTTCAGCCATTCAGCTTGCTCGTGGTTCCCACATAATGGACCGATCAGTCCGCCGGGTTTTACATCGCACCCGAGGTAACATAAGCTTATAGCTGCCCAAAAATTACTGCCAAACGACTAAGGAAGACGAATAAGGATTGCATAAACAATGTAGGGTACTTTAATGGAGAATATTATTATTGTTACAAGTGACAGAGCTCTCTTTCATTTCGACAACATTCCCTTTCAAATCCACAATAACTCCTGAACAACTGAAATGGCGTCTCTTGACGAGCAGACACCTCCATCCATTTTACCCTTCACTCCTCTGCCTGGTTATTCCTAAACTCTTTATCCGCAACTCATAATTATGCTTACGTCACGTGGCGTAACACTCAAACCATCCATACCTTACTGCCAGACTCTGTACTAATCACTCTAATATAACTCTCTTATCTCCGTAAAGCAATCACATATGCCGCAATCATTCATGTGGCTCTTCCATCTTTCTGCCCTGAATGCAGAATATAAATTTTAGGCTACTAATTGTTTGTACCTGTGTTCTAGGTTTTGAACTGACGATGGAGCTGGACTCCGAAACGTTTTCGCTTATAAGAAATGGTGAACTTTTTGGCTATTTTCTTTACTTTTAAATTCCTGGAATACAGACACGAGGTGTTGCGATTAGACTCGGAAGGCCTCGTGAACTTCGGAGAGTTGGGAGGCCTGATCCCCTCTCTTGTGTTGTGCCTCTTCGTGGGGTGGGTGATTACGTGCCTCTGCCTCATTAAGGGCATAAAGACTACGGGCAAAGTCGTCTACTTCACAGCAACCTTCCCCTTCTTCGTGCTACTTGTCCTCGTGGTTGCTGGAGCCTTGCTTCCAGGAGCATCGAAAGTCAGTGAATTTTTCCTGAAAGCACAAAAGTTTTTTATTCAGCACTATTTTCATTCCCTTCTGACCTTCGCGATGATTTTGTGCTTCAAACATCTTACAGTACGGCACCAAAAATCCCTGAAAGGTGAGGTCCAATACTCAGGAGCGGAATACATAGATAACGAAATATATACAACATGATAATTCATGTTCTTTAACTTAATTTAGTTTTACAGAAATGGGAGCGCGGCCGTGAGTAACAAAATTGACTCGTAAACAGGCCCTGGGCCTAACGCCAACCATTAGCATGCAATATCTAACAGTAAATCCGCTTTGCACAACACAGCCACTGCTTCACAGCGCCGGAGCACAACTGGCCGGAGCGCAACAGGCCCTACCGCAACAGGCGGCGCAGGTTAGGTTAGGTTAGGTTAAGTTACGTTAGGAGTAGCAGTTTCGGTAGGGCCTGCTGCGCTCCGGCCTGTATGCGCTTCGGCCTGTGACTGAATGGCGCTGTTGTGGTGGGGGTTTTGTGTCAAAAGCCGTGAAGATGCTCGGCTGCGTTACGCTCGGGAAGGTATATGAATCGCACTGTGGACTTGGGCTATGCTGACCTCTAGCTATCCACCCGCGTCAGTTAGCTTTTTCGAGGAATTTGACCGAATTTTCGACACTAGTTCACTTTCGGCCAGTTTTTTCAAATCACGCTGTGTAGTGTTAATGAAGTAACAGTGGAATACTTTGATAAATAGTATTCACAATTCTACTTCAACCAGCGCCAAATTCATCTCTGTACTCTGTAACTAACTAATTTCATCACAAAATTTCTGATTTAACGTCTAGTTTTTAAAGTGACAAAATATTATAAAGGTTGTGAATTTTAGCTGTCGGATCTTTTTATCCCATCGAAACTTTTCGTGATGTCTGTTGATAGGGTCTCTTGTATCTGTTGGCAGGGTCTCATGTATCTGTTGACGGGGTCTCTTGTACCTGTTGACAGGGGCTCATGTATCTATTGACAGGGTCTCTTGTATCTGTTGACAGGGGCTCGTGTATCTGTTCGTGCCCAAGTGGGAGAAGCTACTGGATGTGAACGTGTGGAGGAAGGCACTAGAGCAAGTGGTCTATTCGCTCTCCATAGGTGGAGGCGGATTGGTTACTTTCGGCTCTTACAACGATTTCAACACAAAGGTGACATTTTTAAAACTTTTTCTCGGACATGTTACAGCAATCAGTGACAGATTTTTATTTTTCAACCACCTTGGCCACGGTTCTCCATGAATGTAACTCATGAATGCACTAACGTTTTACGTTCTTGAAAGTATTTCTATACATTAATAAGTAACGAGGCACATAGTCTGGGTGTAATGGGTGTAACTTCTGAAGTTAGTTTGAATACGAAACATTGGACATGCAAGCGTCATAATACTTGAAGTTTCATTTAATTGATACAATATCTTCATTCCAGAATCTTTTCTGTATGAGCAAATGGGGTCTCCAATTTGGCTTGATATACGCCACTTGTTTCAGGCATTTTTTGCTTACTCATTTCTATTTACCGCTAGTTTTCTTTCAGGTGCACATAGACGTCTTGATTTTATCGGTCTTGGATCTGATCGCGTCGCTGATGTGTGCCGTGACAATCTTCTCTGTGATGGGCGCCATGGCCTATGAGCTGGGCATCGAAGACGTCAGTAAAGTCGTCGCGTCTGGTGAGTGGTGACATCGATAACCTAAGCAAAATTGTAGTTCGATATTTTTGCACGCCGCTGGGTGGCCTGGGGGCGGGCTGGAGAGGACAGGGAGATGAGGTAGATTGGACAATGAGGGAAAGAAAAGCAAAAAGACCGCAGGTTGAACACTGAACAGGGCTTTTCAAAAGCGAGGAAATAGGAGGGTCCGCGATTAAGGACTGATTGTGGAAGAGATACCGTGTGGAATGTATGGGATCTTTATGCTCCGGTGCTCGGAGATGACCTCGTCTGAACTAGCAGCTTGCAAGGTTACAAACCCGACCGCAGCTGAGTTAGTTTAATTAATACTTTGAGTGCGCCATGACCAACCAGGGTTGCCAGATTGCCTAAAAAACGGCCAAGTCCACGGACAGAAAACGCCTATAATTCAATATATACAAGTAAATTTGTAGGTTCCAGTGTAAAAATTAAATTTTCATTTGTTTGTACTTTTTAAAATTTAATAAAGAAGTACCGTCATCATAAGTTTTATGCCGGACAACGCAATTAAAAAAATTGAATCATTGACTCAGTCCGGAAAAAAGACCCTGCAACCCACCGGTGGGTCGTGTCGCACTCAACGTGCATGTTAAAGCGGTAGAGGTGAGAACATGCGACTTCCTTAAAAGTTCTCGGAGGTGTGGAGGCAGCCATGGCTCTGTTGTTATTGTTGATGTTGCTGTAGTTAGGAAGAAGATACTCCTGCGATTTGCTTCCGCTTGGGAGACAGCAGGCAAGCTGGCGTGCACCAGGAAATGAGCCACTATGAGACCAAAGCGGGATCGCAAGGTAGATTTCTCAGGTGCGTCACAACGAGTGCGTCAGCATAGTCGTCGCGTCTTGCAAAAGGAAGCTATGACAACGTCAGCAGAATTATCACGACCCGATGGTAATGCCATGCACAACGTCAGAAAAAACGTCGCGTTGGTGAGTGATGGCGTCGATGACGTGAGCAGAGTCGTCGCCTCCGGTGAGTGGTGACATTTATGACGTTTATAATGCCGTTTTATTATCGTGTACCACGATGACCATTGATTTAAATCGTCACGGGATAATTCTCATTGGTGACCATTCATACACTGCATCACATATCCATGTTCCCCGAAGGTCCGGGCTTGGCATTCGTCGCGTACCCTGAGGCGATCGCCCGTACCTTGCCAGTACCCCACGTCTGGTGCTTTCTGTTCTTCACCATGTTCTTCATTCTCGGCCTCAGCTCCTTGGTACATATAATTTGTTTTATATGCATTGTTTGTAAAGTGCATTGCCTGGAACGTACTTCGCTTGATATGTGCATTTCGTGATGATAAGCAGTTTTATATTTTCGTGCATTTACTGATAACTACATTGCTCAGTATTGCTACTTTTACATTTATATGCTAATGCATGGTATTACTACTAGCTATTCTTAGGAAGTTTATATCTACTTGGAAGTGGTATTCTAATTCGCTTTCCCATTGGTACATGCTCCTTGTGAAAAGCGCTAAATCTGGTGAAATTGCCATAGGTTGTTGCTCTCTTTCTCGCGTCCTCACCTCGGCGCATTCTCCCATTAATATGATTTCCTCTGATACCCCTTGGCACGCTAGTCGCTCTCAGGTGCCCCTATCCCCTGCAGTTCGGAGGTATGGAGCTGCTGATGACGGCGCTGCTGGACGAGTTCCCGCAGTTGAGGCGCCGCAAGCCGGTGATTGTTGTGGGTCTCTGCGTCTTTCTCTTCTGCCTCGGCCTTCCCTCCTGCACTCCGGTACTATTGCACACAATAATAATCACTATTAAGCTATGATAACTTCAATAATGAAAGTTAAATGGCGAAGAAAGTTTTGTGAAAGCGCTTTTCATTCTCCGGGAGAGTACACAAATCAAGCTAAAATGAACAATAAAATAATTTTAAAAAACTACATGCAACTTTAATTAATTTTCAGTGACGCCATCTAAATAGAATCATTTTCAAGCCAGTGCAGAAGTTGGTCAATACTTTCAATGTGTAGTGTTTTAACCAGTGCGTTGAAATGGGCTTTGACGGCATAGTAGTTGAAATGGGCATTTAGTAGCTCTTATCTGGTACCGAAACCCCACTCACAGCCGCTTCTTGTGGCCCCGATTCACAGGCGCAAGACTTTAGACGGACTTGGCCAGCTCCAATGAGATTCCTCTAATAAATTAGTTCGCCCGAATTCAAATCGTAAATAAGATAACATTCTGAATTTTTCATGGATTTCCAGTTACCCATTTGCAATCAATGCACAGTGAACGAAATATAAAAACTTTGCGTTTATATATTATAAATATATTATATTTATATATTATATATTATCTATATTATATATAAATGTTTATATATTATATTTATGTTTATATATTATAAATATATAAATGCGCATTCATTCATTGATCAACGTGTTCATGGATCAAGTAAGTTCTATACTTTAAAGATCTCTATCGGTTGTAAAACTTATCCTTGCTGATCAATATACCAGATATTTCTTGATCAGCTTCCTTGTTGAAGATTTTGTCTCCCAAAACTGGTTACAAACGGACATACCAAAATGGGGAGTGCAAATTCCTTTTATCAATAGTTACCATGAAGCCGAATTGAATAAATGAACAGGCACATACACCGTAAGTAATCAACAGGCACATACACCGTAATTTGACATATGTCAACACTAAAACACTCTGGTAGTTTAGCATTTTTGTTGACTTTTACGACATAGAATGTCTTTACAGAAAGGCCAGTACATCATCTACCTCATCGACGTCTTTAATTTCGGCATTGGCAGTTTACTGGCAGCCTTCATCACCTGCGTCACCGTCCACTGGGTGTTTGGTGTCAACAAGTGAGTCAAGGGAGAGATGTGAGTCAAAAGTGAATGAGGCGTGATATTCAATTCTGGCAGAAATAAGTCAAACGAGAGTGACGAGTCAGCTAGAGGAACAAGCATGAGTGTTGTATTAAATATAGTGAATCGAGCATGAGCGGTGAGCCAGCAAATGAATCAAATGTGAATGAAGAGTCTGAAAATTAATTAAACGTGAGTAATGAATTCAAGCACGGAACATGCGTCAGAGGCATAAGGATGCGTAACACACTCCTTAAATTTTCTATACGATTTACATGAGCACAAGTGAGGGCAGGATTCGTCGACTAGTGATCAGTGAAGGATAATTACAAGTCTATAGTTATTTTAGAGGTGTCTTAATACTGTGTGTTACCTAAAGGTATAGAATGTCAACGTCTGTACAAAAGTGATCTGTTAATAGACGGCTATCACCTACGAGCGTCAGGGCAACCTTCCGTCTTTCAAGTAGGAGCGATAAGACGCGCTAGAGTTAAAACATCACTGGAGACAAATCCCATCCTCGTTTGAATCGTATATAATGTATATGCTTATATATGTCGTGCCAAAATTGCGGGATTGCTGATCTATCTGGGGTTAGGTAAGTCAGTCAAGTTTTTTTTATATTTAAGTAAAGGAGCTTGACTGAACTTGAACTAACCTTTCCTAACTCCAACTGTCGATTTATGTTCTAACTCTAACGTCCAATTGTCTGAATAAGCAACGAAGCGCTAATTATACAGATTCAGCAAACTGGCTGCCGTTTCCATAAAATCGGCATTTCCGCAATTTCAGCAAGACATACATCTGGGCCAAAGAATCATTGCTCCTGGCAGAAGCGCGAGTAGTTAGTCAGGAAATGATTCAAGTGTAAGTTGTGCACCTGAAAGTGAACTGATTTAGAAATAGTATTTAGATCAGAGCAGTCAGCAAGGGAATGAAGCGTGAATGAGCAAGTTAATCAAGCATAAATGGGACTTATCAAGTGAATCATAAGCAGGTTCATCAAGTGGGTACAAATGTAATAAGTAAAGTGGGTGGGTGATAGTGGGTGATATGCCCGCATGTGGGTCAGTAGAATAGAATAGAAGTGTCGGCACTGAAGAAATAGGCCCATGGCCTGTTGCCGATTATTGAATTTTTCGTGACTTGATTCACACGGGATCCGGCCTTTGGAACCCGATCTTTCCATAACTGACGATTGATTGAGATAGCTGCTGGACTTATTGCCTGGTCCGTAATTTGCTAGGCATTTTAAGACTGAACATATGCTCCTGCATAGCTTCGTCTGGACTTATTGCCTGGTCCGTAATTTGCTAGGCATTTTAAGACTGAACATATGCTCCTGCATAGCTTCGTCTGCATAGTCAGTTCTTGAAGGCGTTCATACTCGGAGCGTCAACGATGCTATCAGGGCGGCTGTTAGTGGGTTATGAGTCATTAAGTGAGTGATGATCCAGGAAGTGAGTCGCGCGAACGGCGTACAATAACTGTACATATCACTGAACTTGGTATTAGATGGCAGAATTTGCTTGTTTATACGCGTGCGATTAATGACCAGCGAAATCGTTGATTTAAATCATTAGAGAGTTGAACAATTCTTCAGAAGACGTTGGTAGATCGAAAGCCATGTTTCAGGAAGTAGTTTTAGTTTATTAACGACGTTTCGAAAGCAACATACATTCATTTTCAAGTTACAAGAAGTATTAAATATTGAAATTTCGGCGAAAGTAGGTACACAATATGCGTAAATATTAAACAACTGTAAAATTTTGAACCAGAAAAATCACTCTGAAAACGATCTCAAAGTTCAGACCAATCCGGCAGTTAGAAGATATATAGCTGGAATCCAATCCGTAGAGATGAGGGGTTCAGCTAGCGTCGTTCGGTTGATGTCGGGCCACTGCTTGATGACGTGGGGCCTTCCAGCTCAATATGTGAGTGTTAGTCCAATCAGATCACCAAGCCGGTGTCTCAATAGCTACCTGCAAACTGGAGGGCAAGTGAACCACATGAGACAAGCTCAGAACCAGACCGTCACTCTGCTGGAGGAACCCATCAGCAACGTCATCAAGTAGTGACTCGACATCAACCGACCGACGATAGCTGAACCCCTCATATCTACGATTGGACACCAGCTATCTATCTCCTAACTGCCGGATTGGACTGAACTTTAAGATAGTCTTCAGAGTGATTTTCTGGTTCAAAATTTTACTGTTGTATCATATTTATGCATGTTTTGTACTTATTTATTGTTTTGTACTTATTTATGCCAAAAATTATATCGCTAAACATGCATAATTTCCTCCTTTCTCAGATACGACAAAATATGAATCCTATACTTGCAAAGATGACCTTTCAAAATTTTGTGATCAATAATTGGAAAAAATGCGAATATTTTCAGATAGTGACTATATCTAGCAACAATAATATAATATCAAGTAATAATAATGCTATATTCTTATCAGTTTCAGTGACATGATCGAGTTCATGCTGGGCTTCCGTCCGTCGGTCCTCATGCGCGTTACCTGGGCCTGCATCGCTCCCGTCTTGCTGCTGGTGGGTGCCAACGATGGTAGTGGGAACCGAATAGGGGCAGTGGTGGTAGTAGTGGGTATAGTGGCGCTGGCGGTAATTGGAACATGGGTACTGGTGGGGTGGTAGTGGGTATAATTGTGGTGGCACTGGTGACAGTGAGTAAAGAGGTGCTGGTAATGTTGATAGTGGGTATAGTGGCGCTGTCACGGGTCTTTGTGGGAATGGTGGCACTGGTAGTTTTGAAAGTGGACATAGTGACACTGGCCCTGGTGGTAGTGGAATCTGAAGTAAGCGATGGTGGGAATAGAAACACCGGTAATAATTGTAATGGTAATAGTATCACTTGTTTGTGGAGTGCAGATAACATCATCATATGCTGCATCTGGTGTTTGTGAGACCTAGATTCTCATGAAGAATCGAGGTTCGGAATCAAGAACTAAGGCCTTCCTTTAAATGAAATAATAATGTTTTTGAAATACCCTACCAAAAGATTGAACACGCTAATAATGATAGAAATAAACAAATTTGACTCGCGAAAATAATCAATATTACCGTCACGATACACTACAATTGCATATTATCAGCCCTCTAGAAATACACCTCCATGACAAGATCATCAGTCTCAATACTGATTAAAACTCACTGCCAGTTGAGTTTATATCAAGGGTAATTGAAAGCAAAAACATCAAAACTGAAACATCCAAAAACCCAATGCGTTGCCACTTATAAATCATATGTACAGATATAGATTGAATCAGTTTCCTCTATAGCTACACTTCCAGCTAACGTTATCCAAGTTCCACCTGCCGCAGATTGTTCCTTGATAACCTCAGCCCCTGCCGCTGATGGTTCCTTGATAACCTCAGCCCCTGCCGCTGATGGTTCCTTGATAACCTCAGCCCCTGCCGCAGATGGTTCCTTGATAACCTCAACCCCTGCCGCAGATGGTTCCTTGATAACCTCAGCCCCTGCCGCAGATGGTTCCTTGATAACCTCAGCCCCTGCCGCTGATGGTTCCTTGATAACCTCAGCCCCTGCCGCAGATGGTTCCTTGATAACCTCAGCCCCTGCCGAAGATGGTTCCTTGATAACCTCAGCCCCTGCCGCAGATGGTTCCTTGATAACCTCAGCCCCCCGCAGGCGGTGTTCGTGGGTTCCTTGCTGCAGTGGAGCTGGCCGCTGTACGCGGGCGTCGTCCAATATCCTGTGTGGGCGCTGCTGCTGGGCGCCGCCATGCCCCTCGTCACCCTCGCCCCTCTCGTCGTCGTCGCCCTTGTGCACGTCATCAAGCTCGTCAGGCGCGGGGTGAGCGTTAGAATGGGTTCTTTGAATGAGGGCCATGACTTGAATAGTTAAAATGGCTTTACTAGGTTAGGGTTATGACGAGGAAAAAGTGGTTAAAGTTCAGAGCACCAGGATTGGAGCAGAGTCGTGCGGGTTCGATCCCAGCTCTGTGCGCCAGTTTCTGGTTAGAATCGGCAAGGAGGCCGGGCGGTTAAGCAAAGTAATTTGGAAGCAGTGAGTTGCGAGTTCGAGCCCGCAACAAACTGTGGATGTTCTGCAATGTTAAGAATCGGCATCAGGTCTACGGCCTAATAAACGCTGAAACCGCTACATATTCACTAAAATAGGGGTTTTGACTGGCATGACTTCACGAGAACGATGTCATGACTATAGTTGAGGTGATGACTGGAACAGCTGTAATGGAATAGGGTTCAGGATCTGAAGCCTAGGTGTAATTGATGGAAAAAGTGGGACGCGGAGAGAAATCTGGGCGAAAGATCGAGCATGTATGCTGCTAGTTCGATGGTTTTTTAATTTCTTCTATCTTTTGCTTCTCCAACATTTAAATTGCGTTATGTTCAATCTCAGACTTTCGCTTCACATTGAATGACAAATGTTGTACTCGTCTGGTATCATTGACCAAATTTAAGTGTTCTCACAGAGAGATGCATGCACCTCTTAGGTAAGTTTTTTATGAAGTTTTTTCCGTGATCGAGATAAGGAGCCAAAGGTTCACAAAGATTAACAAGGATGATTCAGCTTGAAATTCATTGAAATGCTAATCAAATGCCAATTAAACATCCTGTTGTGATTTCTGTCCGGCATCGTAACACCTACGTAAATGCCAATATTAATCTTTCCCCGTAGACGTTCCAACATATGATTAATCATCGGAAAATCTACCGCCGAACGACTTTATAGATGCCTTGAGACTTATTAATTATGATAAATCTACAATGCCTCAATATGCGCATAACAGAGTAAATATTTATTACGAGGAAAATATTGTAATAAACACAATAATATGCGTTTAAAAATTAATTTTTAAAGACAACACTTCTAAAGAATCCAATGATTTCGAGGTTACACATGTACAATGAATGAATTTCTAATTTTATTTTCAAATATAAAAAGTAATTAATTATTTTAATATTTAAAAATATTGTAAATTTTCAAAATTGGAGGTAGAAGTGTGGAGAAGTAGAAGTGTGTTAAGTATCGATTATAAGATTTATAGCAGACAGACAGACAAACAAACAAGAAGTAAAGTTGAAGAGAAGTGTTGTAAAAAAAACTTCAAAACTTTTTACTTCACTGCAAGTAAAAAGTGAACGAAGGAAACACAAGCAAGTATTCTGAGTCGAGAAACAGACTCTAACAAAGCGCTTAGCATGCGTACACGTAACATTTTTCGTGCCATGAAAAAAGACGCAGAAAAATGTAGGCTTGTTTATCGGAAATAATCGAAGTGTTTTAACAAAATTGTTACCTAGAAAAATTTGATTGCTAATTACCGGCTGTTCATTAGCACACGTGTAGAAGTAAGAACTGCAGGCTCAAAATTGGCAACAATCAATCATCACATCAACCATCAATTTGAACATCAATCACGGAAAAAACCATCTCAGCGCCTAGTTTAATCACAACTGCATTATGGAGCGAAGACACAGCAGATTCTGAAACAAAATAAGAGAGAATTTCTACTGGAAACTATGCATTAGTGGAACAAACCCTGATCAGTACCATTACACAATAACAAACGAACATGCACAGCCTAGAATGGACTACATGAGAAAAGTCACCTTTGAAACTATCTCGGGGCAAATTCCTCCTACGCAAGTAGCACGGCCATATACTTCACTAAAAATTAAGCATCCTGGTACTAAATTTTCAACAATCCAAGCCTGCTTGTCGCACTATTTTGTGCTTTTCAGTAAATTGAGGAGCTGAACCTCAACAATTGGACATAAAGGAGATATCTGAAATCCACCTTCTAACCCGGAAATACTGAACTCTGGCAACGATTTTCGATCAACGATTGGATAAAATAATTAGCAATTAATCAATTGAAGAACGCACGACAGAATGAAGAATAGAATTATTCGAGTTCAATCTTTTGCCTATAATGCACTCTGCATCCGCAAAAAATAAGTATTGCAAAGATTTAGTCATAAAATTTCAAAAATATAACAAATTTGACATTTATAGCGGCGGTATCAACAATACCAAGGAGTATATAGCTCGAGTTTCAGAACAGTTCGATAACTGACCGCGAAAATCTTACTTGCGAATTGAAGATCGACTCATAAACATGGAAAGCCGAAAACCAACAAGCTAAGTTCTTCGAACCCTTGGACGTGCCCAGAGGAATTGGAGGCTTGGAACCGCATGTTGTGAAGAACCTTCCATGGCGACCTAAGACGATAGTTGCGGCACTGGGGCAAGCAGCACAAGCAGTACGAATGACTGCTGCGAGTGCATGAAACAACGTTGCTGCCTAACTGAAGATTCCTGCCAATAAAGCACCTCTTTTTCGTCTCGTTCAAGTTCTGCTGAAGATGAAAGCGACATGAGTCGGTCTTGTAACGTGTGCAGTGCTGCCTCTGGAAAATTTAGATCCGAGACTAAGTCTTCAAGCAGCCGCTGTAAGAATCGAAGCTTGAAGTGCATTAGTTAAAGTGAGGATGAATCAGACGGTTGCTCGGCCTCTAGCGAAAGCTCAGTTCGTGCATGGCAGCGTTGCTCTTCTAGGAAGCCTACCTCGGAAAGGTACGAAATTTGCTCAACCAAATCTGAAACGAAGTCGTGTCCAAGCTCAACGAGAAGTAAGAGAAGTTCAGAAAGCTCAACCTGCGCTCCAACAAAAAGCGAATGCAGTTGCTTGTCCTAGACTTATTCAAGAGCATCTCCTTCTAGCAGCAAAGCATGCACTTCTGAGCCGAAGTCCAGCGTTTCGTCGGGCAACACGCAATGTAAATCTTCAAGAAGCAAATCTACATCAAAATGGGAGAGTCCATGCAACTCGACTCGGTCTGAAGATAAAAGTTCTTCGACGGTTTGCAAGTCCACTGATGACCAGGGAACTAACTCAAGCACGGGAGCCTCTTCAAATTGTAAATCAAGTTCGAAAAGTACAGTTTCCTCGAAACGCCAAAGCTAATCCTCAGCAGACTCCTGTGACAAATCAAAGAAACTGAATTCAGCATCATGTAACAGAAAAATCAGGAATAGATCAGAACGCACAAAGAATTGTAGCTCTCGGCTGCATGAGTCTACCGAGTCTGACGATACGAAGAGCGCGGTGAAGCGTAGCTCATGCTCATCAGAGACCAAAAAATCTTCAGGCTCCAGCAGAAAAGGGGTCTAGAGCGACTCGTCAGATAAACCGACTCGATCGACGACGGAAAATGGTTCGTCTCAAAGAACTGCTTTGAAATCGAGATCAGTTACGGGAACAACTTCAACATCAAGTAATTCATCGAGTAAGAGCATGGCTGGTGACACAGATTCCACCTTTTCTTCCAGCAGTCAGACTAAAGACTCGAGTTCAACGACAAGCCAGAGCTCTGGCACAGCCATTTCGACCTCAGAAGGAAGCAACTCTGAATTTAGTTCAGCAACCGCAAGCCGAGGTTCAACGGACTACTGTACGTGTACAAAAACTGCAAGCACTTGTACTCGGAGCGACTCGGAGGAATCCTCTTGCAAAGCGAGCTCATCGAGCACAACAACGTCGAAGGAGCTTGATTGTTGGTGCAGGAAGTTTAACTTCTTCACAATGAACGGCGCCACATGCGGAAGAAAGTACTGATGAGCCGGGCAGCATCGTCGTTTGAGAGTAAATTTTTGATTTCAGGAAATGTGATTTGTGAACGGATGTAGATCAAACTTAGTTTTGTTTGATCTGTAATAAAATTATGTAAAATGATTAATAAATTATTTTCCTTTTAAGGAGAATCCGAACAACAAGTGAAGTGACGTTTCTACTAATGCTTATGGAGTCTGTTTCTATTACTTTAATAATGTTAATGGTCCGATCCCGAAACTCGTCTAGACTCGATCGTCTTGGAATAGTTTCTCGATATGAACCGGGACGAGACGATAAATATCTCGGAAAAAACGAGACAACGGTTAAAAATTGTTTAAGAATAAAGTAATGTAACGGAATGATAATTGAGTACCTGAATTTTAAACTTGAGTCCCGGATGTTATGAAGCGTTATGAGTCCCGTTTTTTGGAACACTCAATTAATCGCGTAGCGTAGGAATTCGGTAAATTTAATAGCATCAGCTATATCTATTGTTGCTCGTTCACGGGTTCAATTGTGGCAGACAGTACTGCATGAGTTCCACGACTGGCCACCATTAGTTTCATGGGCCAGTAAGCTAATATAAACGAGGTCATTAATGGCTTCAAGTATTTCCTGAAGTATGGCTGGCAGTGTGTGTCTTGAGAGCTCGCATCAAGTTGATTGATAAAAAAATGCTTTTAAAAATTACTTTTTAAGGACAACACTTCTATAGAATACAGTGATTCTGAATGAAATGTTACACATTTACAATAAATTTCTAATTTAATTTCCAAATATTAAAAAATTAATTTTAACTTTTTTGATCTATGAAAAAAAGTTAAATTTTCAAAATTATTTATTGTGTAAATTGATTCATTCGTAGTCTCCGACTTTACGCAAATGTGCAAAATTTCAGATCGATTGGACAAGTAAAAGTGTGTTGAATATCGATTATAAGATTTGTTGAAGACAAAATTATTTTTAAAATTTTTTTAAATTAAAAAATAATTTTTAAAATTATATATTCTGTCCATTGATTCATGCATTGTCTCCGACTTTATGCAAGTGTGCAAAATTTCAGATCGATGGAGGGGTAGAAGTGTGTTAAATATCGATTCTAAGATTTGTAGCAGACAGACAAACAAGAAGTGAAGTTAAAGAGAAGTATTGTAAAAATGAGAGTGGAATGATGGATGTCTATTAGGGTTAAGGACTGGACATGGCGTGAGAAAAACATGGGAATGATATGTGAATGGCTGAAGGATGTACATCGACACAAACGGTCTGGTATGAAGAATCGAGGTTAAATTAGTATAAACGATGTTCACCGTCTTTCATGAAGTAACGGTTTAAAAAGTTTTTACGACTTCCTCCGTTCGACATAGAAAAGGATTTATTAAAAGGGTTGTACCGGCGTCTCGGACAAAGCTTAGTAGAACGAGTCCCGAATAATCAAGCAGCTCCGGTTACAAACTCGACCACGATGCTTGATTTTAATGTTCCTTGTAAGGATTTCATCATTTATGTTACAAAATAGCGGGTATCCAGAATGATATGGATAGTTAGTAGGACAGCGGACCGGAGTTTATCACGAGCGTGGCATTTCATGTCCTGGTAGTTGACCATAAGACTCTAGTCTCATCTGAAGTGTCAAGTGTCTCTCTTCAGAGTGCCCTTCTTTCTTAACCTATGTACTTTTTAGATATACTGCTAATTTTTTGTTGCTCATTAAATAAATAAGTGTTGAAACTACCGTGATCAATTCTCCTGAGGAATAGAAAGAAACAGCTGACCGGTGGAACCCTGTGAAGTTATGACATTCCTTATATTCGTTTTGTAGGAAGAGGCCCGCTCGTGTCAGCGTATTCTACCATCAACATTTATTGAATATTGCGCTACATCGCTACACGCAGTTGCTTTGGGGCCGCATATACAGCTACCATGCTAACATACCTTACTTCCATTTTTGTTACATGATCTATACAAACACTCCAGATAGATTTTTATGCTTACGAATTTAAATTTTTAACATTATGTCCATTGCACCATTATATTCAAATCCTTTTAAAATATATAATTGAAGTTATTTAAGTCAATCAATTTTGGTTGTCACTAACAAAACTTAGCGAAATTTTTCACAGCAGCCGCATTGATTTCTTTCATCTAGATAACATAAGCGCAAATTTCAACTATAAATAAAAACCTTCTCATGCACATCCCACTGTCATCTTATTCCTCCCTATCACCAGAGGGTACGCGACTTCCTAAAACCCCATCACAGCTGGGGCCCCGGTTGCCCCGTGGCCCGCCAGCGACTCGGTGAAGTCGTGCGGCATAGCCTAGAGGAGCTAAGACTCAACACTCGCGTCACAAAGAGCACCGTCGACATACCCGACCAGTAGTGTCCGTAGCTTCATGCCAGTGACGAGACTCCATAGATTGCTAGTCTTTGTCGAGAACATTTGTTGTCTGTAACAAGCTTTTTTTGCTCGCGTCACTTTTTCTGTACCTTATTGAAGTGCAACGATTAGGTCTTGTCGTAGGTGTGCAATTTTTTGCTTCTATTTTCGTCAACCCACTGTTTCATTGTTCATCGAAAGTTCTTATTTTAAGATGGAGTTCTTATTTTAAGATTATTATTTTAAGATGTATAATGCCGTGGAAAGGGCGTTTCATTCCTTCTCAGCTTTGCACTTGTGAACGACAGACGTTATTTGTTCATTAAAATTCAGTTACTCAACTTCAAGTTTACACTACTCATTAGCTAATTTTACTTAAACATCAGTGAAAACAGTTTATTTCTTACGCAGGCGTTTTTGACTAGCCACTGGTCTCCTCTGCTTAAAATTGACGACAGCATTAATAACGGCCACATGCCGTTCGTCGGTTGCGTGTTAGCTGCTAAAGCGCCGGGGTAGTGCCGGAAATACCAATTTGGATAGCTGTTAGTACCCAATTTTTGGGTTGAATCGTATACGAGGCGCTCTCGGTGACGGTTGTAGACATGGGATAATAAATCAGTGCGGTTTTATTGGCAATGGCCTAAATACGGCTGTCTCCTTTGTTTTGTAATCACGCCATCCATGTGGTCCGTGCGCAATTTGAGATATGCGCAGGTGAGATACAGTATGTGCGTATATGTGAGATATGCGCTAGTTACGAGTAAGTAAAAAATTTATCTTAAAAATGTATGGTTACTATATAACGAGTGAACACACATTCTTGTCCCGCGTACGTTGTCCCTTACCGATTTACCGAAACCTCGAGGTTATATCCGGCCTTTTTTTTTGCGTCTTCGTTCTAATTAATTCGCTGTTCGATGTTGATAAAATCTCGGATCATGAACAAATCTAGAATATAATTAAATTTAACTAAATGAAAATCAAGTTATTGTTAACTTTTATCATGAAACTCTGAAGACTATTTGTAAATTAGATTTTTTATCGTAAATTTCGAGTGCGAAATTTACGCACTCCGACCAATAATATGACATGAATTGAATTATTCATTACAAAGTTACATGCACATCAAGATATTTAAGTGAACTCGTTGTTTTCAATAAAGAAGTTGTTTTACCCATGCCATAAAGCAGCACATGTAGGATAGCTTCTGGGGAGAAGAAATGGGAGCATACAGCTTGGGGCTATCGATATTAACGGGTCATCATTTAATTGCACCACTGGTTGATGAAACAAAACTTGACTTTTAGTTTTGTTCATAAATATGGCTTATAGCATTATAAAATGTTTCATTTATGAAGGTTTAAAAAATAAATTATTCTGTCGTGTATGCGTTTTTAAATGTTCACGTTAAATAAATTTATGACTTGTGGAAGCAACGATTTAGAGACTTTACTGAAAGAGATTTTTGATAAAATAATAATACCGTAATACCTTGTAAAAAGAGTGATTGTAACAAAACAATGCCATCATCCAAAACAATGCCATCATCCAAAACAATGCCATCATCCAAAACAATGCCATCATCCAAAACAATGCCATCATCCAAAACAATGCCATCATCTACACCGTCACCTATCGCAGTCGCAGTAATTGGGATCATGCAGGAATGTGAATCTGGGTCAGCCTGGCTATGAGTCCTAGAAATGCGTGCTTTTACTTGGCGAACTCAATACCCCACCTCAGATCGCCAGCTGGTCTTCTTCAATGCCAAGTTCAAATGCGTTAACACATTCAGGCTCGCCTTAATTTTTTATGTCACTCCAATTAGCATGAACGGCTATAAGTTAACAGTACAAAAGAAACAAGGTATAGGAAGAGCAGTCATTGCTACGTGTTATTACATAGGAATGAATAAGAGATGCGTCTTTCATGACATGTTTTGCGCTAATGTATGACTGTTTTGAACCAGCTATTATTGTTCAAAGCTCTTTCTATTATAGACGGCTATAGCCGTCTATAATAATATTATATTATATTATATTATTAGCCGTCTATATTATTAATAGACGGCTATAGCCGTCTATTATAGAGACAGGTTTTCAACAAGAGCCGTCAGCGAGCGTGAATGTCTTAAAGATCTTTCACATAGACGGCAAACCTAAATAAATCAAATTCGATTTTCCATATTTTGCTGTCCTGTCCAAATTTTCGCTACGTGTTTGTTGTTGTTTCAGATTCAAGCAGTCCGTCAAAAATCTCGTGTCAATCAGGATTTTATGAACTTTTCTGTCTTACAAGGAATGTAAAAAGTTGAAAATGTGACAATTTATCAGCGAACCCTCAAAAAACTATACCACTCATCCTTTATTTATTGTACATACTATTTTTTGTCGAGTTTTTGTTATCTGCATTAAACTCTCTAATATAATTTTGGCAACGTAAAATTTCTCTATGACTGCTTAAATCAGACAAACTTGAGCAACAGTACTGTATCGACCAGAGTTTCCTGGCTATAATATTTAAATTTTAAAGCCACCCAAAACTATTCAGGCATGAGCAATTGAGCTGAATGCTACATTGAATCTTTATTCACTGTTATTTCAGTGATTACAACTCAAAACATATACAAATGCTGCAGGATTTAATAAATTATCCACAAAATCCCGACTTACAATCATTAAAAATATGAAGAATGTTTCACTTTTTTCGAGTCATAAAGGAATAGGTCAGAGTGTCACAAAACTGAAAACTCATGTGTATGCGGCACCCCTTCGACATGGCAAAATTTCTTTAAAATTCACCAAAACATGCATGCATCTGCATGGGGTTGGACGTTCTCTGAATATTGGTGAATGTTTATTGAGTAGCTAATTATTTGGGGAAATTATCATTCACGAGAAGTTAAACATTTTAAACAATTTGATGAATTTTTAAATGATGCACACCCTCCTCATGCATATTCTAAAACGCACATTTTCAACAATAACCAGGCATTTATATTTGTGGAATAAATGGTACAACCAGCACAATTGCTAGAATAAATTTTTTCGGCACAAATAGTATATTATCATCATTATAATTTCCGTCAAGGAAAAATAAAATTGTTATCAACTGTTCTTCATTGAAATGGAGCTATCGGAAAGTGTGCTACAATAACTCTGTACGAAAGACGTTGAAAGCATTGACTGAGAATTGATCTTATTATATCAGATATAAACTGAGAGGTAAGCTATCAATAGAATTTAAATGAAAAGCAATAATACTGCCAATTAGTCGAGACTACACTAAATAGAAGAAAATAAACACACTATCACAGAGAAGAAATATCATAATAAATGACGAAAAATAACAACAATCACGGGGACGCAAGACTCACTAGCGTGACGAAAACAACAATAAAAGAGATACCAGATTAAACTAAATTGACGACAACGGCACTCGCATATACTATAAATGAGACTAAAAAAGCTCCAAGGAAACAAGGACCATCATAAAGAAAAATCACAAACGTACATGGATATACTATTGACGAAAGCAACAAATGCAGAGATACATGAATGTGACATTTAACAAAACTTGTTTAAGAGAAGAAATTCTGCCAGCCTACACTAATATAGATACATGAATGTAAACAAATGCAGAGATACATGCAGAGTACACTAGATGAGCAAAACAATTAACAATCACACGGAAGAAAGACTATATTATTTTGATGTAAACAATTTCGGACATACAAGACTATACTAGAATGACGAAAAGCACGATCACAGCCATACATGATAATACTCTGTGGCTAAAACAACAAGCATTAAACAGCCTGAATATACGTACTAACTTTACGAATACACGATTCGTCAGAGGAACGCTCCGCTCTTCATACTAACAGGACAAGTTGCAGCCATTAAAGCAAGTAAGAGTAATTATGTAGGGCTCGGAGGCATCAATTATTGTTTATTTCCTGTTCTTTCCACCAATCCTCGCAATAACCGCCAATTTACCTTTAACAAAACCAGTTGCAGTTAATGGCACGTATTTTAAATGTTCTTCAGTAGCTCATATGTAAACGGACTTGTGATTAATACGTATTGTGATCAATTTGACTATGTGCAAACGGAGAAAACTTTTCTATATACATGGGTCAACCGCGAAGCCGTTCTCCAGCTGCCGTCAGCTGGCGCTCGCTTCGTCAGTCGGTCACCGAGTGTCGTGACGCGAGGGCTGTGAGGCAAATCTTTCCTGCCTGCTTTGCGACTGAGAAATCAAGTTTTTTTAAGCTAGGCTCTTATAAATATATGTTTAACGTAACAGTAGAATAAAATAATTCGTTTAACAGATAAATGGGAAAATTCCGATTCCATCTTAGCGCAACATGTATACGTGTCATCGTTTGGACAATTCGCCAAACAACTGACCTCTCTGACACTGACGAAGCTTGGCATGCATTCAAACAAAAATGAAACATAGCCATCTTAACCCCTGCAGTGTTCCGCCGAGTGATCGAATTGATCGTTCTTTTATCCGCAGTGATTGCAAGATTTCTGAAGTGTGTGTATTACAGGTTGAATATCAAAGTCAGACTAACATGGAGAATGGAAACAAATCAAGGACAAAGTTCCCGATTATTACTAATGGTTATGTCAAACTCTGACAAATACAAAAAGAAATAAATAGATGATTAATTCAATCCCTAACAATGTTACAATGTTTGCAATGCAGTTGTCAATCTTGTACGTGCTTGCGGTCATCGTGCATGGAATTCTGCCTATAAAATCATTCAAATCTGAAATTGAGTGTCGTGTTCCTGTGGTGACGTTCTTTTTCATTCTAAATGGTGTTCCCATCCTATAATGTCAGATACATTTAAATAAAATTGAGCGGGAATGAACTTGGAAATAGCGCTACGCTTGGACCGTTGTTGTAGAACCAAAAATATCTGCATGCTTTGAGAGTGTCAGCTTCGTTATAATCAATTTTCGCTACATCTTGGTGATAATTAATCTAGAGTGAAAGTTAAAGCAGCGCTAATCTTGGAGCGTCGGTTCAACATAACAAAACAACCGTGAATACATGTTGCTTGTTCGGCGAATTGGTCTATGAACTAATCATATTGAAATTATCTCGATGTCTGAATAAGATTTTCTAGTCCATCCAAAGTAAAAATGTATCTTGAAAATCGAGTTGTGCTATGACAATGTTTCTATACGTTCAATTTATTACGTTGATAGTAGACTTGACCAAACATTCTCTTCTCAATGCGTTGGCCTCTCCATATGGCAGGTCACAACTCGGTGGCAAATTACCTTTAATGGGTAACTGTCTATTTTTTAAGAGAATTAGGCTAAATGAGCAATTTTAAGGAACTATCTGTGTCAATTCGCAAAATCGGTGTGGAGAGAAACTGCGCCATAAAATATAGTACACTTGTTAGAATAGAAGTGTCGGCGTTGAAGAAATAGGCCCATATGACATTCTATGCTATGCTAATAGGCATTCTATGCTAAAATATAGAATATGCCAAACTAGCTCGCCACTTACACTGATGATTCCAAACTTGGCTACTTGAGCGGCGTTGAAGTCACCGTAGATGTTAGAATAATTATAAAGCCTGTTTCGGAAAATGTAACCTGCTCACCGTTTTTTATGCGCATGTTGCTGGGAAATAAAACCTTCTCCACGCCCAGGTCCCTGATGCACTAATCATCTAATGCCAATCAATATATTGTCATCGCCGCGTTCTCTTCTGCTGTTGAATAAGGAAACACAATCTAGGATGGGCATATGGCCGAGGTCGAGCGTCCTGAAATTCCCTCCTGATGTACGAATTTTAAGTGCAAAATCCCTTGACCATTCAGCGTCTCGTGTGATCGTTACTGATACTAATAATATAAGTCAGTCATGCATTTGGGGTTAGATATAGTCTGTATAATTACATGCCTGTGGTCAGATATTCCTACATTATGATAAAAAGTTAGAAACTATTAAATAAAATTGCAAATTTTAAATATATTTTCGAAAATAAACTCTCCAGAAATTTTAGAGCAACTTCTGTTTGAGCGGAAATTTTTGGAATTTTGTCGTGATTTTAGCTGCGCATTCCGAGGTTCAGCAATGGCTTTGTGTGGTCCGATCGCAGTGTATTGTTGAGCCAGCGTGTTAAGCCCGCGAGAGCTCACTTTGTTATGCAACAAAAAACTTCTAACGGGTTAGTGCTTGTAGGCTAGTCGCCAGCTGACTAGTGACGTCATCCAAACCTCTGAGCTGGCTGGTGACGTCACACCAATCACCAGCTGGCAAATGATATGAAACCAATATCAAGCTGGCTACCACCAGAAAATCAACTTTCAACTGACTATATTGATAGCAACCATGCATAAATATATCAGATATATAGATAAAAACACTTCGGTACGTACAGGCACTACGTAATACATCGCGGAATTCAATACTGCCAGCTAGAAAGTAATGATATCCAAATTTCCAGCTGGCTAGTTCTAGTAATCCGATCGCCAGTAAGTTAGTGCTTGTGAACCAACTGTCAGTTGGCTATAAATGGCAACCCAAACTGTCCTGCTAGCAACCAAATTGTCAGCTTAAAATCGCTAGCAAACCGACTATCAATTACCAATAAATTACCGTCAGGCTAGTGATAGCAACACAATTATCAGCTGTTAGTTATGGAAGCCCAACTAGAGTACCTGAAGAATGGAAACATATTCCAGCTGGTCTTTATTAAAAATTCGATATCCACTAGGCTAGTGTTAGAAAAGTAATTGCCGGTTGGGGTCTACTTGACGAATCCTCTCTTATGACGCTTTTCTTGTTCTCGCTCAAATAGTTCATATTTTCAAACATCTTGGCATGCTGCCATTCTTCTGGTACTATTGTCGCAAGTTTCACCAGACAACTTTCTCTCAACAGTATAGTTTGTTATCCTCAGGCCTGCCAGACACCAGCCTTATTGGGTCTGTGAAGCATAATTAAATATTGAAATGTAAATATCATCCCGTTACTACATGGGATGAAATATTGAACAATACATGTTGAGAAGAATGTGTCTATAATGATTACGTGGAACAAATGTTCTAAAAAAGAAATAGAGTGTAATTAAATAACCTGCAGCCCCTCCTAAACACTCATTTCTAATTCAGAACTCTAATATGCTGCCATAATTTTAAACATAAACCCTAAACCCCAATTTTGCACCCCAATACCCGACATTTGTCATGAACAAGACAGGTCACGATACCAACGCGAATTGGCCCCCAAGACACAAGTCTACTTTATGATCACAACACAACCCTATTAAGACCCCAATTAATTCCTGACACTTGATCATGAGCACGACGGGTCAAAGGGGTCAAGCTTCCTCCAAGAAGCATCACACCGACAACACCAGCAGGAGCTCCAGGTCCCTCCAGCATGACAGCATCAGCTACCAGGACAACAGGGGACACTGGGGCAGCAGGATGGAGTTCCTACTTGCCTGCCTCGGCTACTCGGTGGGATTGGGGAACTTGTGGCGGTTCCCCTACCTGGCATATGAAAATGGAGGAGGTGGGTGGCTGCATTGCTGAATTCCCTGGTGTATTATGTGTAATGATGTGTTTTCTTCATAGTTTTGATCTAGAATTGTGTTTTGTAAAGATATGTAAATATTATGAATTCGATGCCGATCGGCCAGACCGACACTGAACTGGCTGGATAATATTTGTTGTACATAGAATAAAACTGGGTAGAAAATAATCTCATACAACCTATGGCTGTCTCCACGCTAAATGAATTTATTAATTATAATTTAAACACCTTTAGTGACATCAGTGGCACTGATTCTTACTTAATTTGTACTTTTTAACTCTCCTAAGCTCATGAACTGTGTTAAATTTGCTGCGCATTTTCGACTGACGATATTTCAATAATGTGATACATCATACTTTTTTTAGTATTTGTTTACAGATTTAAACCTACTCAACTGATTAATGAGGCATTATTGTTAAATCGCAATCGGATACAATTGTTAATTTTTACTTACATGGACTATGGTATAAATTATTGCACATCCTCATCAGGATACCGTGTGTTTATCAACTTGTTCCGAAGTATTGTAGATATTGTCAGCGCAGAGGCTGCCGCGTCATAGATTTTGTCGAATCATTCATTTATTCCTCCTTTCCCTGCCGAACAGACAATAAAAGACGAGTGATATTGTTAAAAAAATTGCATACTTGACTTTATTTTGCTGAAGAAGCTTCTACTGAGGTCTCTTTTTCAGCGGCGTTCCTGTTGCCGTACCTGCTGATGCTGGTGATCGTAGGTCGTCCCCTCTACCTGACAGAGGTGGCGCTCGGGCAGTACAGTCAGCTGGGGCCCCTACACACCTACAGGAAAATTGCACCTCTTATGGCGGGTATGTGAGGCCTTGTGTGAAATCTATTTAAAAACAATAGTGTTGAGGTCACATTCCCTGTCAAAATTTAGACGTGGAAGTTGGTCGGATTTCGGTTGCAACTCTCGGATTAGAGATGATTCAAATGTGAAAATGGCCGTGCATAGCGCACAACCATTGAAAAGGTGCATACCGCAACCGAAATGAAAAGGTGCATAGCGCACAACCATTGTAATGGAAGTTGTGCGGGGTTTGGTTAAGGTTGGAGAAGAAAGAGGGAATCCGTCAGGGCTCTGGATGCATGGTTTGCACGTGGGAAGGAAAAGGTTATTCGTAGTTCGAAATTCAAGTTTTTTTTAAATAGAAAGTAATTTTCACTGTTCAAAAGCGTTACGGTATTTTTAATTTTTTAATTTGTACAATTCTTTTACTTTCTATACAAGATGATATGATATGGGGAGAGTATTGGCGATGATGATGTCGATAACGGTTTATGTGATGAGAAAGTCGCTCGGGACTCAGGAGGTAGGTTAGAGTAGTCTGTTACTGGGTTCACGCTGAGTCGTCAGTTTCGTAAGTAACTGTCGGTGAGTTTTGTCAGCCCGTAGTCAGCATCGGGACAAAAGCACCTGGGCGCGTTCATTCAATAACTGTCGACCATGCAGGTACAGATGCCCGTTGTGTATGTGATATGTTTGAGACAATAGGTATCACAAAAAAATCACCATTTCTTTATAAGAGAAAACGTTTCGGAGCCCAGCTCCATCGACAGTTCATAACGCAAAGTTCAGTGCAGAAGTTCAGTCCTAGTACCACAAATACATAAAATTAATTAGTAAAGCATATCCAATGCCAGGTATTAAATTTGAAACAAGTAAATAAGACATGAAATGAACGCTAGTAAAAGGGTCTATCTATTTACTATTTCAAGAGGAATGGAGCTAAAAGTAGCATTCAGACTAGGCTTCTGTTTGAATATATACAGGGATTCTAAAATTCGTAGATCATGTACACCGGATGTGGAAGCTAGAACTTTAGAATCACTATCAGAAACAGAGGTGTTGCATGAACACGTATAGCAGAATGAGGAGGATGTGCAAGTAGGTTCCACGTTCTATAACTCCTGCTATAATGCTCAGCCAGCCTGGTATAGAAATTTCGTGACGTCATACTGACGTACGCTGATGCGCACTTCGCACAACTATATCTGTAAACTAGTGGCAATCGCATAAGAGCAGGGAGGGTATCCTTATACCTGGAAAACGAGCCGATTCTAAAATTGTTAACTAACAACACAGTAAGATTTTACATCCGGAAGGTATTTAGCGAATAAAACTTTTAATTCATTTGACATAGTCTCAGCTGCGGGGCCAAAGCAGGGAAAAGAACAGTAAACAACGCTCCTATTGTTTCCCCTACAACGTTCCACACTTGGGAACAATTCCAGTTCATTGCTTGGACATGAACTTTTTAATTTTCGTTAACACCAAGCGCGATGGAAAGCCATTTTGTGAAAAGATACTGCGCAAAAATTCAAATTCAGAGTGCATGGCTAGGAAAGTAGAGCAAATGCGAATTACGCGGTTTATTAATGTTTGGATTTCATTCAATTTGAAACGAATTGAACAAAAGCTAAATAAGCTGGTGCTTAAGCCTGTAAATGTCTATTTTCTAAAAACAGGAATTTGGAAACGGCCAATAGATTTGATAACTTTGAAGTCAAGGAAAGACAAGTTGACTTGAATCAAACTATTGTTTGATTCAAGTGTCATGGTGAATTTGATAGACTTATGTTGGAAATCAAGATAATCGAAGATAAGGCCCACATGAGAGGGATGCTTAAAAATAAAAAAAGAAGGTATCATCAACATATCTGCCTCGGCCCTACCTTTGCCAATATTTCCATGTTTTTTCACGAGGCTACTTGGTTGGCCAATTGTCCTCTTGATTTTAAACCAATTTTATATAACTGATTTGTTATAGAAAATTGGTTTTGTTGATATTCTTTCAAATCGAAGATACCTTCGTTTGTTTTGCACTTCGAACAAGCATACAAAAAGAAGGATTTCGAGTTTTGCTTTGCATTTTCGGCAATATCTTTCTCGAAGTTTTTCACTGCAGGGCGACAGCTTTCTTTAGCAAGATTTCGAGCTCTTGTATGTTGATTATAAGCCGCATCACTACGAGTCTGTAAATAACGCTTATGTGCTTCCTTCTTAGTTTCCAACTTAGCTAGACTATCCTGTTCATCCACTCAGTTTTTTTACTCCATCCAGCTTAATCTTAGGTACACGTGCTTCAATTTCAGGCATAACCATGTCCTTGAGAAATGACCATGACTCGAGAAATGTGGTCCTTGAGAAATGGCCACATTCATGTCCTTGATACAGTCCGAAATATTCATTGCTGCACAGAGTTTGTCATAGTTGCCTTTCACAAAGTTTAAACACTCACTCTTCTGAGGCTTCTTTTCTATACAGCACTTGATAGTAAAAACAATTAGTGGTGGTGGTTTTTGCCCAACGGAGCCTCGCGGCGAAGCACATCTAACATTGATTCATCACTAGTAAACATGAGGTCTAAAATATTAGGAGTATGTCCGCCCTATAATGGATTGGCTTGGTAACATGCTGGACTAAAAAGGATTCTCACAGACTCCGTGAACAAGGATGCTGGGTAATTCCCATCCCTTGGAGAGGATCCATTTGTCCAGTCACACAGTTCGAGATGGTTGAAGTTGCCAACCATCAGCGTGTGTGACATACGAAAAGTCATGCTCGAACGGCCTATGGCGCAGGCCGTCGTCGAACATGGCTTATACTGTGTGTTGTGCCCGTGTTGCATGGCTAACAATACTGTGCCCCTGTTGTCTTGCATTGTACATGTTGTGTGTGGTGAGGTATTAGTATAGTATAGTATAGTATCTTCGGCATTAAAGAATAGGCCTTGATAGGCTTGTCGCCGATTCTTGTACTTTTCTTGACTAAACTGGCCTTTTGATCAGATCTTTTCAACGGACGGTAGATTTAAAATCGCTTCTAGATATCAGTTGTTCCGTAAGGTACGAGGCATTTGAATACTAAACATATGCTCATGCATGGCCTTGTCTAGTCTGTTCTTGAACGCGTTCATACTCGGAGCGTCTGCAATATCTTCAGGGAGGCTGTTCCTCATGTCAGTGACTCGAAGCGCGAAGAAATGTTGTCGCGTGGATAAGTTGCACCGCAGTTTTTTTAGTTTATAGCTGTGGCCCCTGAGTTTATAGCTGTGGCCCCTGCTATAATCTGTATTCGTATAATCTGATGTTTATAGTACTTTATCTAATAATTTTCCGTGCATGTTTAGTAGTAAAATCAGTCTTTCGTTTACGATTTGGTGTTGTGAGGTGTTGAGGTGTCGGGGAAATAGTCCGCGTATATGATATGTTTGGATGTAAAACAGGTAGTAGAGCACGTTTTTGGCTAGGTGTTCGCGTTGGAGGGTTGTTAAGCATGTAGTTTCAGGTGCCTGTGGAACTAATTCGGTGTAATATGGTGGGGATTTAGGAAACGGCTGCGTTCTGTACATGTTTTTTCCAATTATCTGAGTAAGTCTATTTCTAATATTGTAAGGCCGGATTGTGTGGGAACTGTGTGCTGTGATTGGGTTTGTTTGAATTTGCTCAATGAAGGATTTCCAATTTGCTCTATGGAAGGATCTACGAGGACCAATGATTATTAGTAATGGGTTTGCTGTAATGGTGGTCATTATATATGAGAATGTGATTGGCGGGTGTGATTGTTCCTGGTAGTAGATATGTATATGTTGTGGAATCCCTTAATGTTGTGTATGTTTTTGTCTGGTGATTTTGAGTTGTGGGTTATGTGGCTTCGAAAGTAGGGGCCAACATGTGCACATCTGCGTTGAGCTATTGGAGGGTGTTATTGCCTGCCTATTGGGTTGGAGTTGCAATTTCAGAGTTTTGTGTGTCTAGCGTTTATATCTACCATGAGGTAAACGAGATGGGTTCTATTCAGTAATGTGTGGTCATCGATATAATTGATGTAGTCTGCACGTGGTTGGATGTTTGTTGTTGCTATTTTAATGGGCCCTTGTTGAGTGTCAACCGTGTGCCTAGCTTGCCTGTGTGGAACTAGTCATGGAGTTTGTAAAAAATTCAACTGCCCGTGTAAAATGTAAACCAAATTATTTTAAGTGGTTCTCAGCAGCATATCTCGTTTCGAGCTTAAAAGTTCGCCAAAATTTTTGGACGGAAAAGAGGTATAACAGCTTAGAATTACAGCACCAATTTAACTAGTCAATTTAGCCGATTGGTCGATCAATTTTTAATTGAAACTTTTGTGAATGGGACTTGGATAGAAAATGTTGAATATCGTCAAATGAATTTAAAAGTAATTATTTAAAAACAAATAATTTTTATTTTCTTCACATTTTATATTTTTGACAAAATTTTATCCCTACCAGGCCTAGGATACATGCAGCTCATCTCTGCGATCCCTTCGGCCTCCTCGTACATGATCATCCTAAGCTACTCCCTGCACTACCTCTTCACCAGCCTCACTCACATCGGCCATACCGTACGTAGCTATTACTTATTACGGGCTTTTGTTGCCGTTATTATGTATACTATGAAACATTTCTGAAGCGCATCTGTTATAACTGTTATTACAAATGATGAAGGACAATAACTATCAGCCTATATAAAAATCCATACAATAAGTGCGTATCACAGACATCTGTATACAAGAGGTGCTATCTTGGTTTTAGATTTTCTACTTTTATTGCATATTGTTCGTAAAAAAACTATTTATTGTGCGTTTGACATTAAAATATATATCATAAATATAATGAAGTTAAATAAGTTATTAATGGCAATACAATATTTATTCATGACATTACATGTACCAACTTGGTCAGGATAACAAATAAGGAAAACCGCGTTCACTGGTGCTGCTTCTCGTCTTGGAAGTAATTATGCAGATTAATCCGTCATGACGCTATATATGACACGGATGTGGTTTTTTGGGCAAGAAGAAACGACGCTTTTCTTTTGGTAGTCCTTACTTGCTATCGTTGCTGACAATAGTGACGTAAGAGACTTGGTGACGTAAGCTGGAAACAAGATTTAATATTAGTTAATAAGTCGAGAAAGACATACATGAAACTTACACCAGCTAGGTAGGCGCCGGACTCCCATGTATTAGGTGTAATTAATAACATTGTAGCTGAGCGTTGTTAATTGACTTCTCCATGACAAGACTACAACTGGTATGCATGACAGGATGGTTTATGTCAGCTCGGTCAATTGCACAGTGTATCATTAGTTACTTACACAAGGTGGTTTTGGCAGGCAAGTAGAAGAAACGCAACGTTTACGATAGCTACGTTTAACAATATCATATAGTTAGGCCAGATACACCTATTATTGACGTTTCCTTGTTCATTCTTGCATTTGTCAACGCTGGGTTGGGCTTTGAAATTGATTACTAGGAATTATAGTGCCCACGGCTGAGGTTGGGCTTGAAATACGATTGCGGTGCCTGAAATCGTGAGATAAGAGATAAAGTTAAGAGGACGATATCTTAAAATTACCCAATATGTTTCAAATCAAAAGAGACGCCGTGGTCGCCATATTGGTTTCTATACTAAATCCTGGTAAGGAAATCCAGGGAGTAGGCTGTCAGATAACAATGACAATTGTGAACTGCAATGAATGATCAATAATGGATAGTTCACGGTGAGTGACACGACTGAGTCGAGAATCTTAAGGTCCTAAAAATGGCTATACGTATTCAAGAGAATCTAGGCGCGGGAAGCGTTGTAGGTGGCGCCACTTGGGGCTATTACGGGAGGCCTCCGCCATATTTGACTCGTGGCGCGCGCCGAGACGTTTCGGAATTTCCTAGGTTTTACGTTGAGAGGGAACGTCACGAAATACTCGACATTCGAAAAATGACTGTAAAAATTTGAAATGCTATTTCATAAGAATCACATCACTGAGTAGCAGCGAGTTTAGGATGCGATTCCAAGAGCTCGAGATTGTTAACACGTGTGACGTGGGTGAGCTTTGGCTAGATTGACTAATTCACGTTTCAAGACAAGGCTACTCTCATGCTCACCGTTCTAGGGTTGGCACATAGTTGATATAAATAAATGGGGACGCTAATAACAAGGTTACTTTTTACAAGGAGATAAATCAAGGCTGGCGCGGGGAAGTAGAACACAGATGGTCACAACAGGTCACTGTTGAGCAGAGCAGACTGAGGCTTGCATGGGCGTGCTTAACGTGCCAAGCGGGGCTTGTTGTCCCGAAGAAAAGGGGATGTCGTTTGAGGTGGACTATGATATAATTCTTCTGGGAGTAGGTGGAAGGTGCGGGTTCATCTGACGAGCGGCCCAGAGCGACGTCACAATATAACTACATGCATTTAATTGCAATTGAAATTAAAGCGAAGAAAACAAGTACAGTGCGCATAGATTCGGAGAAGCAGGTTTGCATGACGTAATACAAAAATCTCAAGTGCACGTGGCGGCTGATTTCTCGTCCGTGCTCGCTTGTGAGCATTTCTTATCGAGTCTCCAGTCAGTCACGAGACAGTGATATTAGAAAAAAAATAACTCAGTACTCACTACAGAGTGACAGAGAGTGCATTTTCTCGTCGACGAAAACGTGAAGTCTCGGACGGACAGACAGACAGACGGACGGATATGACGAGCACAATAGCGCCCTTTTTCCATAAATGAGAAACTGCGCTAAAAATAGGTTCGGTTCATTTTACTAACTTTGTAATGTAATCTTTCAATTACAGAATTGGAGTTGCACCCGGAAGAATGCTGAAAACAAAAACTTGAACTGTTGCTATCTTATTGGAAGTTGTAAATAGGTGTCATTCAACTATGGTCGGTGGACGATGTGGTTCAATAAGTGGTTTTAGTCCTCCAAACGCTTTATGGCATGTGCACTAAAAAGTCAGTCAAACGTTGCCGTTATAAGTTCACACTGGATCTTTGACCGTTGCGATAACATTTAGAAATATAGTGCATGCGAATGAGTTAATGCGACGAGAAAGCTCAAGGCACCCGTGCTTACCAACAAAATTAAATTTATACCTACGATTCAAAAACTAATTAAAACACTCACATCAGCCTTAAATTCACATATAAATATCATGATCTCAACATAAATGATAATTGCGATTAAGGTTTTCCGTAAATATTCGTTACATAAGTTGATCAAACAAATAGGTACTTAGTACCCATTTTCCCCATTCAGTTGCCGTGGTCGACGTGTGACCCCGCATGGGCGACGGAACAGTGCCACGTGATGGGAGTAGCGAACTCATCCTGCCTCGACAGTAACAACACTGGGGCGTGCACCTCTTCCGACCAATCGTCTGCAATGCAGTACTGGAAGTAAGATTAAAAGTGAATTTAAATGTATGTATACTGTTCACGGGGCAAGTTGTAACAGCTACTAGTGACGTCTACAACTAGCCACCAGCAGTTTTAGGCAAGTAATCTTATACACGAGACAAGTGTTGCTGCGAGTATTTTTTCATTCGTCTTTCATGTTTTTTTTTTTTTTATTTTTCATCTGCGCTCTATAGAGGCAACAAAAATACTAATTAGCTGACAATTTATGTGTCTGTCATTATTTTGCATATCAGCCTCCCAAATTTCATGATTCATCCCTGAATATATCTAATCGATCACTAGTGGATTGTTACATGTTTTAAAAACGAGTACTAGTGAAAGAAATTTACATTAACGTAAGTTGAAGTTACGCACTAGTTGCCATGCCTTTGGTTGAATGTTGAATTCTCTCGCTATAAAAGTGTTAAATGAGTTAAATGAAATCTTCAAAAATCATACGAATTTTCAGAACAGTAATATCTTTAATATTTAGAAACAAATCTAAAATTTAAAGTACCATCGTCTCTGATATAAGTTATATCAAACTAATAATCAAAGAATGGCGAGAAGAACAAAATATTCAGCAGATTTCGTAATTTATTACATTTTACACCAAGTTAGGAACGAGCAAACCTTTACTCTGAAATATTAACCCGCGTTTCTAAGTAATCCGCGGTGCTACGCCATGTTTGTTGCACACTCGCGCCTTAGCTTTCTCTTTCGTTCCAACACGTTTGGAAATTTTGGTGGCAATAGCGAAGAAAAGAGCAAAGCAGAAAGGACTAAGCTATTCTCAAAAATTTCTTCCTTCAGCTGAGAGACCGGCATTTAAAAATTTTTTTTGACATTAACGATGTTAATCCCTACGAAGTGCCGGCAAAGCAGTGGTGTGCAGATTTTACAATCCTGATTCACGGTGATTTACTGAACTATTTGGTGTTTGGTGTCAGCCAATACACTCTGCAATAATTCAAGGCATCCTGCTTCAATTCTTCATACCTCATCTTGGGGACGGAGCCCAGTCAGGGTCAGTGGTAAACATCTCTTAAGTAATCCACTAACAATGACACTTAGTTAATGCATCATCCATTTATAAAATGCAGCTTATAAATGCAACTGTTAGGCAGGCCGGTGACGACGCATTATTGCGACTGATGATTACTAAAACACAGTCATAGGTAAACTGTAAAATAAACCTAATTTCGTTTTGAAAAGAGAACTTCTTGTGCAGAACCAAGTTCAACATGATAGAATAGAAGAATAGAATAAAAGTGTCGGCACTGAAGAAATAGGCCCGTGGCCAGTTGCCGATTCTTGAATTTTTCGTGAATTGATTCACAAGGGATCTGGCCTTTGGAACCCGATCTTTCCATAACTGACGATTGATTGAGATAGCTGCTGGACTTATTGCCTGGTCCGTAATTTGCTAGGCATTTTAAGAAATCGCCGTCACCCATACTCGTCGATGTCTTGTGGTAACGCCGAGAACTTCGCTGCCTTTGCCTTCCTTCACGGCTGGTAAACTGAAGAAACGCAGTCAATTGTCCAGTTTTCTATTTAAATAATCGTGAGAACAACTGGTGCATCCAACAACGGCGCAGTAGCGTCCGTTCTTCAAGCAAAAACTTTAAAAAGAGACAAGCACTGTAGATTGAAAACGTAGGCGAAAGCTAGACTATGCAACAATTATGGCGGCAGATCCCACAATGCATTTTGCGATTCGGTGCCGTGACGTCATCATTTCGACGCTGGACCGTTAAAGTTGGTCACGTGACCAGCTCCACGCAGGTTGCTTGAGTCTGTTGCAGCTACACGATGCAAGTAGACAGTGATTGGTTGCGATTACTACTCGCAAGATATGTAGCGGCTACAACTTGCTCCGTGTACATTCACCGTAAGCTTCTATTATCAATCATGGCTGTGCATCAGCTTATTGCGGTATTTCGAATAAATTTACAGGTTTTTGAAGTAAGTCAACAGCAATGAGACTCAACATAATTTTTTTTCATATCGGAACGATTATTCATTCCTAATGAGCTCTTATGATCTATGCAGCAATCCTGAGGCATTCGAGTTTATATATATATATCGAACCATATATATATATGGGACTCACTCAAGTGCTTTCTTTTGGGATACGCACTGAGTTTAGCCAAAGTTACCTTATAATGGCTCGATAATCTAAAATGATTCTTAAAGATTTCTGGTATGACATGCTCGCATCATTGATGGGACCTTTCATATCGCTGTATTAGACACTCTAAAATCACGATATTACTTGTTCGTAACTTTTACATGGCCTTATCAAATCTCTAATACGGCTCTATCACTTCTTTGATATAGCTAACATCTCTCAAATAGCTCCCCGATGGGTTCGGACATTATTCTATCACATCTCTGATACCGCTTTCTCATAATGTATTTGAATGAACGGACCCATCTCTTTGCTCTGAAACAGACACGAGGTGTTGCGATTGGACTCTGTTGGCCTCGTGAACTTTGGGGAGATGGGAGGCCTTATCCCCTCTCTTGTGTTGTGCCTCTTCGCGGGGTGGGTGATTACGTGCCTCTGCCTCATTAAGGGCATCAAGACTTCGGGCAAAGTCGTCTACTTCACGGCAACCTTCCCTTTCGTCGTGCTGATTGTCCTCATGATCGCTGGAGTCTCGCTAAGCGGAGCATCGAAAGTCAGTGGATGTTATCCTAGAGATATTAATTTGTTTTCAAAATCTATCTATATTAAAGAATTTATGATGAATTCAAATCGTACGTCAAGGTTTTAGCTAGACACTTCTTATACAATTAAACCCAAAAAATTATAGACCCATGCGCATCCAAAATACTCGTTCAAGATGAAATGAACATAACTTTAAAGGACATATCCTTGAATTTCATTTAGTTTCTTCACCCTGTACGTTGCAGGGTGCCACGGCCATAACTGTTTATATCCTGATCTGATACAACAACAACATTTTGTTTGTTCGCCCAAGAATGCCCAAAGTTAATCCGCGACAATAATGTCCAAAGTATCAGGGCCCATACTTTCAAAACAAGTTAAGAGATCGTAAGTTCATCAGCCAATCAATGGCGGCCTCTCAAGCAAAATCCACCAATCATAGACAAGAAAATAGAGCGTAAGTACTTACGTTGACTTAGCGAATTTTGAAAAAATAGGCCCTGGATGATTATTACTATCAGGTTTTGTGAACATCTTTACTGTTTGTCACACCCCAAAAGACGATAATCAATAGGAAAGTAGTCAGGAGACAGGCTGGTCACGGGAAGTCAAATGGGGGCTGAACCAATGGGGTTTCTGATGCGGGCGCTCTACCTAGCCGCTGAAGGCTATATGATGAGAGGGAACCTCCTACTTCTTGTTAAAATCTAATATCGGAAGTAAATTTGACACTGAAATAATCCTAATTTGAAGTGTTTCATGCATACGTTACAGCATTACCGCATGTCAAAACCCTGATTTGTTCCTTTTATAGGAATTTGATCGCTCCAACACCGAAGGATGGTGTAAGTGACTCCAACAATGATGATGACTTCATAGTAAATCAAACACTGTCGTTGGCTGCAAAGGCTTTTCAGCCATTCGAGTTGTTGAATCCTGAATTGTTGAGCAAGATCTACCAACTTCAGTTTGCAATTCCGGTGTTCGCCACAAGTTAAACTCTTCTGCTTGCTTGATCTGACTGCAAGAGATCTCAATAAGATAATTAGTCAGTCGTCAATGATACAGAACTGATTTACACAATATGTTTCCTTTATTACCACACTTCTCTTTATCTTCATTTCTTGTGGTTTGTTTATCTGTCTGCAACAAATCTTAGAATCGATGTTTAACACACTTCTACCTGTCCGATCGATGTAAAATTTTGCAATCTTTCGTAAGGTCGGGGACAGTGCATGAATCAAATCACAGATTTAAAAAAAATTAAAAAGCCTTTAAATATTTAAAAATTATTTATATATCTACTTTTTTAATATATAAAAATAAAATAAATTCATTGTACATGCATTGTAGCATCGGAGACACCGGCCTCATTATAAGTGTGGCATTTAAAACGTACTTTTTAAACGCATATTTTATTTCACTCAAATCTTCGAGCTCCCTAAAAGTTCACCATCTAATTTATTTCAATGTCTCCTTCAATGTTGTAGTTTGCCATCGTGCAAATCTATTTCGATTCGAAAGAAGAGATACTGATGGCAAACTGGCTACGAAAACTCGTTGCACTCGAAAATGTAGAGCTCACAAATAAATATTGGACTAACAAAATATATGACATAAATCATTAGACTCCGAAAACTCCAAAATTACAAACAAATGAAATTTTACGAGTGAACGCTGGTCGTGGAAATTTAACTACCAAATTTTCACTCCAAAATAAAATCAAATCGGATTTGATAGGTGGTACGCATAGCTTAAATGCATTGTACATCTTCCAAAGCGTCAATGATGAGTTGACCTAAATTATATCATGTATCATGGGCCTTATGATTTTCCAAGTCCTTGCTGCTGTAACTGGTCATTCGGCTGCAGGAGTCCATTTTGAGCACCTTTTCTAAATCATATTGGACTTCAAGGTTTGTATTTCAATGTTATTTCTATTTCGCATTTCTTTTTTAGTTATTTTCTGGGTTATAGAAGTTTACCTCGAGCCCACTTACAGTTTAAATTTTATTGAAAACCTACATATTCAAAATTATACCTGAACCATGGCAGATCCAAATTTGCTTGTACTCGGCAACTGAGCTCACGAAATTTGAACACACAAGTCTGGCTTTTGGTTTAAATTTCTAGACTTCTTCCAAAATCTAGCTTTTAGAACGACCACGCATTGTAGAAGTTGTGAATTTTTCTATGAACTTTCTGTTATATCTGTTTGCAGGGGCTGGTGTTCCTGTTCGTGCCCAAGTGGGAGAAGCTGCTGGATGTGAACGTGTGGAGGAAGGCGCTAGAGCAAGTGATCTATTCGCTCTCAGTAGGTGGAGGCGGCTTGGTCACCTTCGGCTCTTACAACGATTTCAACACCAAAGTGAGATTTTCCCCAATTGGAGTGGAAGAACAACCTGTATTATCTTATATTATCTTAGATCATTGAACTTTTACAACTTCCTGCCCTTTTGGCGCCACAGATCTTCGTAAATTTTATAAATGCGCTCAATAACGCTTCAAAAAGCATGACCTTTTGATGAGTTTAGGACATCCTAGTCCGAGGTCACGCTGATGCGCCGCCTTGGTCGCCCTCCGTCTCCAAGTCGTTGATGGGCATGTTGATACGTGAATGAGTATCTAGGTGCTCAAGTCATTTAACTCTTGAATTTCATGTGATTATGCGAAATAGCTTACGAGTACCATTAAATTTGGAAAAAGTCAGTGAAATTTAATCTTTATTCCTCAAACTACTATCACAAAGAAAAAAAGGAGGCTTTCCAATTGGTTAATTTTCCACACTTGTTTCTCTTTATTAAATAAGATACTTATTCTCTCTAATAACTTTCCCTTTTCAGGTACACGTTGACGTCTTGATTTTATCGGTGTTGGATTTGATGGCTTCGTTGATGAGCGCCGTGACCATCTTCTCTGTGCTGGGCGCCATGGCCTATGAACTGGGCATCGATGACGTCAGCAAAGTCGTGGCATCCGGTGTGTTTTGCAATGATAAAATTGATAACGTCATTAATTACATCATATCAACATGTGTCCATAAGACAGTTGAATTAAGTCATCACTATATAATTCACTCTAGTGGCCATTAATACATTGCATCGCCATGTTACCCTAAAAGGTCCGGGCTTGGCGTTCGTCGCGTACCCTGAGGCGATCGCCCGCACTTTGCCAGTACCCCACCTCTGGTGCTTTCTGTTCTTCTTCATGGTCTTCACTCTTGGCCTTGACTCCTTGGTAGGTGCTCTGCTAGATACGAATGTTTATTGGTGCATAGCGCATGCATATTTTATATGCAAATTGATTGTGACATGCTCTTCTTAATTAGAACGTGCTGTCGCTAGGTAATTATTGCCATTGTTATGTGCTTCACTGATAAAATTCTACCCTTAGTAGTTCCATCAATACGAGCTTCCTTTGTTTCGTGTGCTCAGTTTGGTGTGTGCTTCAGTGCAATAAATTTCAGTTGGTAAGGGTACACTCTGGTTGGGAATTGAGAAAGATATGTTGATCAACAGTGGGATCTGCGAACCATTTGATTTTAGAAAAATAGTATGGCAATAATAGTAGAATTAATACGCCAAGGTAGCCTAGTGTTAAGAAAAATCTATTCTAAGGCCTTTCTAATCAAAGTTAGTTCTCATATTTTAGCAACATAAGGCGTGGCTTGAGACCTACGATTTAGCTAGAATGATTTACAAGTTCGCAACAATGCTCAGCTTCGGGCCCGTTCCCTTTGACTCACGCTCCCATTGATACGTGTTCCCCTTGATACTTTGCACGTTCCCCACAACACACACGTCACTATATGTCATCGTTCCATGCAGTTCGGGGGCATGGAGATGCTGCTGACGGCGCTGTTGGACGAATTCTCGAAGATGCGGCGCCACAAGCCGTTGGTGGTGATAGGCCTATGCAGCGCCCTCTTCTGCCTCGGCCTCCCCTACTGCACCCCGGTACCATTGATAACACTAATGATCATTATTGATGAATGATGTGAAAGCCAGGAAACGGCCATTCACATATGTATTGGATATTTCGATTATTCACTCGGGCGATTTTAAATGCATCCAAATGCTCTTGGTCCTTTAAGGTGCGTGATAGCAGTGGCCTCTTTTGATCGAAAGCAGTGGTCGTTTGTTGATTGCAGTCAGTCAACCTGAACAGTCTACTTCAGGTTGTCTGTGTGTTGTCTGTGCAGGATGTCTGTGTTCCTGAGCAGTATGGTTGTTCCTCATAGCCTGATTATATCTTGCTATCTTTGAATGTGTCGAAGTAACGCAAGTTGTAATTTGTGCAATAGTGTCATTCGTGTTTGCCACTTTATTTCTAATTTATTCCATTTTACTGGAAAAGCTTAATAAATTATTTAAACTACTATATCTATCCCATGCAAGTATGATTGCGCCAGAAATAGTAGCTAATGGAAAAGACGAGTTCTGGCAGTGATCGAGGACGCACGTAGTGTTTGCGGGTCCCAACTTTCTCACTTCTTACTATGCCGGTTTGACTTATCTCGCGAATTTTGTACCGAAACGATTTCAGTGAAAGGTTCAATGTTAGTGCAGTTCAATCAAAATTGTGCGAATAGTGAGAAAAACGGCTAGTACAAGTGTTTT